TCAGCCTAGCTCACAGCAACCTCAAACTCCTGGGCCCAAGTGATCCTTCTGCCTCAGCCTCCCAAGTAGCTGGGACTACAGGCATGCGCCACTATGCCCGGCTAATTTTTTCTATATATTTTTAGTTGGCCGATTAATTTCTTTCTAATTTTAGTAGAGGCGAAGTCTCGCTCTTGCTCAGGCTGGTCTCGAACTCCTGAGCTCAAACAATCCGCCTGCCTCGGCCTCCCAGGGTGCTAGGATTACAGGCATGAGCCACCATGCCCGGCTAATTTTTTCTATATATTTTTAGTTGACCGATTAATTTCTTTCTAATTTTAGTAGAGGCGAAATCTCGCTCTTGCTCAGGCTGGTCTCGAACTCCTGAGCTCAAACAATCCGCCTGCCTCGGCCTCCCAGGGTGCTAGGATTACAGGCATGAGCCACCGCGCCCAGCCTAGGGTAGGGTTTTTAACAGCAGTATTATCAACATTCAGGCGTATCGTTCTTTGTGGGGGACCATCCTGAACACCACAGGTGCTGAGCAGCATCCCTGGCCTCCACCTACCCCCATGCCAGGAGCACCCCCCAACCCAGTCATGACAACCACAAGTGTCTTGAGACATTGCCCAAGGGTCCCAGGAGGAGAGAATTGTTCCCGGCTGAGAACCACTGGTCAAGGGAGAGGAAAGACAAACAAAACGAATAATCAAAACAAAGTAACAAAACCCAAATAACCCAAAGGAAACAGGAACATCATTCAGCCTCTGGGATGCACACTGCACACGTATTTTCCAACACCTAAAAACAAAAATAGCCATTCTCAAGCGAGCTCTCAGCAAGCACCCGATTAAACAAGTTTTACACGTACTGAGCCTCATAATGACCCTCCGAGGCATATATACTTTTACAACTCCTATTCAGAGAGAAGGAATGGGCTGTTCAGAGAGGGAAAGCAACTTGCCCAAGTTTACACAGCGGGCGCGACGTGGTGCGCCGGGCCCTGCGGCTCTCAGCCTCCCAGGCAGGGACTTTGACAACGCCCGTTTTACAGAGGAAGAAACTGAGGTTCCAAAAGGCTGGCCACGGTGATCCAGGTAGTGACCGGTGGCTCTGGGACAAGAGCCCCGACTTGAGTCCCCACAACCGGGGGTCCCCGAGTCAAAGGGCCGTGTCTCCCGACAGTTAAGAGGAACGAGGGCAGCAGCGAACACTCAATCGCTTGCGGGGCGCTTTCGCCCGTCTGCGGACCAGCGATTCCAGGGGCCGAGAGACGAGGACCCGCCAGGCCTGCCCGACGCCACCCGGCCTCAGTTTCCCCTCCGCGCTGCCTACTCACAGGACCCGGCGGGTCGTGGCGACCTCAGCCCCTGATCAACCTCCTCTTACGGGCTCCGGAGCCCCGTGAACCCCAAACCACAGACCTCAGTCCACCCGGCCCAGCGCGGAGCCCCTCACTCACCTCTCAGGCGACCGAGCCCCGACCCACCGACGGCTGCGCCTGCGCACCACGGCGCCGCCCGGGCCCGCCCCCTGGGCGCGACGCCTGCGCAGAAGGAGGCCGCTGCTGTTTGCTTCCATTCTGCGCAGGCGCGTCAATGATCGAGGCGGGCCTGGAGGGAAGTGACGCACTGTAGAGGCGAGAACAAGCTGGTCGTTAGGGCAACTGACCTCTGTGACAAAACCGAGGCCGGAAATCAAGGCTCGCTTGCCCTCTAGAGCGGGAATGCAGCGGTGCATGGTGGGACAGTGGCGGACTGGAGCGAGCCGGCAGAGCCGACCACGTGGTTCAGAGCCGGCCACGTGGTGCTGCTGCCTTTGGGCACCTGGCACCCCGAGCGCCACACGCTCGCAGAGAATGGGAGTGTCTGTTATCCACTCACTCTCTTTGTTTATTTATTCACCCACTCATCTACCCACTCACCCACAAATGCATTCTTTCAGTCGATCTGTGAGAGGCAAAGGAATACGGAGTTATTTGTAGACAGAAGGTGCCTAATCTTTCATTCAACAAATATGTATTTCAAACCAACCGTAAAGACCAGCAAAGTGTCTGCTCTAATTACCTGGTATTGGGATAGCCGGACCGTAAACTAGTGCATAAATAAATAGGAAATTGCACGTCATGGCAAGCACTGTGAAGAAAAATTGAGGCGACTGTGTTGTGACTGGGAGCCGCGTCGCATGGGAGGGCAGCCTCCTCCCCTGGATGTGGACTAGAAGGATGTGAAATCCCAAAAGGAGAGCAACTCAGGCCCAGGGGACAGGGAAAATGAAGACTGATGTAAGATTAAGCCTGGTGTGCTCAAGAGACAGAGATTAAGTGATGTGACATTCCCTAGGACCACTGAGAACTGACCACCTTCGGAGTTAAAGTTACCAGAAATGTCCTCGCAATTGATTTTCATTCTCTTTCAAGGACATCCTGCACCATTAATGCCTGGATTATTTTAATCTGTTTTACGGAAAGAAAGGATGTGGGTTGTGGGGATTTTGTTGTTGTTTGGTCAATTTAATTCTAGCAATTTTTTTTCTGGGTACCTTAGAAGGTTCAAGCTTTTTGTTTGTTTAACCGACGACTGGATGTAGGTCAGGCTCCTGCCGTGCTCCCAAACACCTGTTATCGTCTGAAGTCATGAGTCCGTTTACCGAAGGTTTCTCGATTGTACTAACCGGCTCACGTTTCTGGGTTTTTTCTTTCTTTCTTTCTTTTTTTTTTTTTTTGCAAAGCTGTGGTTAACTTAACCGATTTACCGGATTCAGCTCTCACATGTGGAGCAGCTACTGTATGCATCAGATGCTAGAAGCTGGGTAGGATGCTGGGGAGGAAATAACCTATAAAAAGCGCCTCGGATACAGTAAGCCATCGCTCACGTGAGGCCCCTGAGGGAGAAAACTTGTAAAACTAGCCCAATACACAATTATAAGAAAGGAGGCGCGTGCACGTTATCACGGAAGCCTGAAATCCCGGCAGAAAGAGTCGCAGACGCGGAAGCTCAGAGCCGTCAGCGGTGTGCGGTTACCATGGAAACGGGTCCTTCCAGTCTCCCTCTCCCCCCTCCCGGCTTTCGAGGGGTGGAGCCTCAGGGCTCCGCCCACTAGCCTCTGAGAGCCAATGACGAGAGGGGAGGGTTGCAGCGCGTGCGTGGAGGGTGTCAGCCTCCGGGCCCGCTTGCACCCGGCGTGGGCGGAGCTTGGGAGCGCGTGCGCCCCGCCCTCCCTGCGCACGCGCACTCCCAGTATGCCCCGGGCGCGCGGGCGGCGGGCCTCTTAGTCTGACCCAGGCGGCAGCGGCGGCTGAGTCCCAGCTAGGCGGCTGCGGCGACGGCGGCGGAGGCGGCTCGACGCGGACCGAGTGGAAGGAGGGAGCGGGCCGCCGGTGCACAGCCGACTGCCATGAAGCCTCCCGCAGGTATCGGCCGCCCTTCGGTGCGACCCAGCTGGCTGGACCCGGGCGTCCCCGGCACCCTCACGCCTTCCGGGGTCGCGCTTTGGGCCTCAGACTGGAACCCAGTGACCCTCGAGTGACCCTGGGCCCGGACGGGGACGGTGGGGCGCGTGGAAGACTCCGCCCCCTCGTCTGCCGAATGAATGGACCAGATTTTCCAGCGCTTCATTCATTCAGCAAACTTGATGGCGCTTCTCCTACGGACGGGTCGGGCCCTGGGGTGCACTCTGGGGAGACAGTGATTTAAGGACCCCGGTCCTCCCTCGTCCTCCCGGAGTTATAGAGCCGGAGACCGACGTTCAGCAAGTAAATGAGCGAGGATTTTAGAATAGAGATCGGTGCCCGGGAAGCAGAGACACGAACGGGGCAATCTTAGGGACCCCTCTTTGGAGAAGGTGGCCCTGGACAGCTTCTCCGAGGAGGTGAGCCAAGACTTGATGGGGAGAAGCAGGTGTCCTGCCCAGACCTGGGGGAGGAGGCAGGAACACGTGTAACCTGTTTGGAGAGCAAAACGTCTAGAACGTTGTCAGCTGGGGGACCCTTTTATTTTAAGGGCAAAGGGACGCTGTGGAAGGGTTTTCATTAGGGGAATGTTGTGACCTGTGTACTGTATTTTAGAAAATTTCTCAGGTTCTTGTGTGGTGCCTCCTTGCTCCTTATCTTTGAATTGCTTATCTTGGAATTTTCTCTTTCCCACCCTCCCTTCCCCAGTTCCAGCACATTGCAATGAGGATGATAATTAGGGTTGTTCAAGGTTCAGGAAGGCAGGAATGTTGTCCGCCTTGTTTGCTGCTGGGTCGTAGGTGGCAATCAGTAAATATTTACAGAGCGAACTGTTGGTCACAGGTTTTTCAAATCCCGCTCAGAATTTTCCAACAATTCCAGCTCCCACGGGTCTCCCATTTTCCTGAACTCCTGAAGCCCTTCTTTTTAGCACAGGGTTTAATGTAGAGCAACAGTTCCTTTTTTTTTTTTTTTGCAGTTCTGAAATCCAAAATACTCTGCCAACGGGAGAATTTCCTTTAAGTTCACAGCAAAGTCATTTGGCCAGAAAAATCCGACCTGTACTGACTGACTTAGAGCCTTTCTTTTTCCCACTTAGTGCATATCAGTGGTTCCCAGCTGGGGTGATTGTGCCACTTCGGGGAACAGCGGACGATATCTGGGGACATTTTTGGTTGTGACGATTGGAGGTGCTCCTGGCATGGAGTGAGTGGAGGCAGGGACACAGCTCAGCACTCTGCAGTGCCCAGGACTGCCCCACCCCAGAGAATGATCTGGCCCCAGATGTCAGCAGTACTGAAGGGGAGAAACCCTAGTTATATTCCGACATTTCACTACAGAAAGAGTAATTTGACTACAGGGTGCTGCCTTGACCACCCTTGATGTTATACGACACATGGCATTTGTATTGTATTACTTTTTCAAAGTAGGGGAAAATTCTGAATATTGAAACATTCCTGGCCCCAAGTGTTTTTGGATGACTGTGATCTACAAGAACATCTGCCACTGGAAAACTTGCTGTCTTGTGGTATTCAGCACGCAAGATGTTTTGCATTTATTCTCTCATCGAATTCTTAGTTGTGTACTTGGATTGTCGCTGCCATTTTACAGATGGGAGTCTTTGGGTTTGGAGAGTTAAAGTTTCTTGTGAGACCCCACAGCTAGCGAGTGGCAGAGGAGGGCTTTAAACTGGGTGGTCTGACATTAGTGTCTGCATTCTGAACTAGCATCCTTGCCCCCACCTCTGTGCCAGTGCACATCCGGTTGTCAGGCCACCTGTCCCATCCCTGTCCTGGTCACCTTCCAGGGCTCCACCCTGCCCTTGGGATTAAAGTTCAGATCTTCATCATAGTCAACAGCAGGGGTTGGCAAACTACGGTGTATTTTTGTATCGCCCATGAGCTTAAAATGATTTCTGGATGGGACAGACCATATGTGGCCTGCAAAGCCTGAAATATTTGGCCCTTTGCAGAAACATTGGCTGACTTCAGTCTACACTGTACAGACTCCACTGGGTCCCGCACGGTCCAGTGTTGCCGGGTGGTTTTGCCAGCTTTGGGCTGAGCCACACTGACTTCCTCCAAGAAGTGGCCCTTCTGGCAGGTGGTTCCACCTCCTGGGAGCCCCCTACCTGCCAGTTTTCCTTGACAGCTGCGTTTACTCACTGAGCAGCCCTAGAGTGGATGGGCCAGGCCCTCGTTACACTCCCATAGCACCCGTGGGTCTTAGATGGCCACTCCCTGTCCTGAATCGTGTGCCAAGTTAATTAATGGGGCCTGTGTGTTCCCTGGGCATTGAACGTGGATTAAGCCAGTAGAAGAGGGGGCTTCTCTCGGACACCCTACTGTGCCTCACTTTTTTTCACTTCCCCCCTCTGGCATGGCAGGATTTGAGTGCCGGGGTGGGCTCCTCTTCTTTGTGAACACGGGGGTCTTTGCAGAGTCCTGCTGGCAAGGGGACCTGCTTGGTGTCTCTAGGGCAGGGCGTAGTTTGAACAGCAGCATTATCTACATCGAGGACTGGATTGCTCTCTGGGGCAAGCTGTCCTGGGTGCTGCAGGGCACTGGGCAGCATCCCTGGCCTCCACGCATTCCATGCTGGGTGCAGTCCCCACCCCCAGTCATGACAACCACAGATGTCCCCAGACACGGCCCAGCATCACCTCCTGCTCTACAGGCTTGGTCAGTGTCGTCCTGCCAGACGCCCGGAGCTCGTGTGCCTGGGTGGGGAAGCAGGCGATCCGTTCCTTCCCCTGCCCCCGAGTGAGTCTCACCCTAACTCGGTGTAACATGGACCCGGCTGCATCACGCTCTGTCTTCTCTCTGCCCAGCATGCGCGGGAGATGTCCTGGACGTGGCGTCTCCATGCTCTGTCGTGAACTACCTGCGATGGGACCTGCGCGCCCAGCAGATAGAGGAGCTCACCAAGGAGCTCATCGAGCAGACCAAGCGCGTGTACGACCAGGTGGGCTCCCAGAAGTTTGAGGAGGTGTCATACGAGAGCACGCTCAAGGCACTGGCCGACGTGGAGGTCACCTACACGGGTACGTCCAGGTCAGGGTGAGGGCAGCCGTGCAGCAGGTCAGACCCCTTGACTCTGGGCTTGGGGCACCCCCACCCACTCCCCTGGGGCAGTGGCCGTGCGTGGGTGTGATGACCTGGGCAGAGGTACCAACAGGTGCTGGTCGTCAGAAGCAGCCAGGAGAGGTGGCTCCCTCTTCCCGCCCTCCTGTTCAGAGCGCTCCCGGGTTGCGTCATCTGAGAGCCCAAGACAGGACACGTGTCTGCACAGCACACCTCTCCAGGAGCCAACTCGGGTGACGGCCTTGAAACCTGAGTCCCTTCTGACCTCTTTCCCAGTCCCAGAGGATATTTGCTTTCTCTCTTAACGACTGAACTTGACCCCTTTGGTTTCCTCCTCCCACCTGCCACTTTGGCCCCTGCCTTTCAGTTTGGGTCGTGTCCTCAGGCGTCCTCCCTGCCCCCAGCCGGGTCCTTCTCTTCCTGGAGGTCTCCCAGCTCACTCTGCGGGACTAGGTGCGGTTCAAATAGATCATGGCCACCGCTTCCCAGAGCTGCCCCTGGAGAGGGTGATAGTGGGCACATCTGCCCAAAAGGCTGGAGAAGTCCCTCGGCAGAGAACTCCAAGCAGGGACACACTGTCCTGTGAGTCTCTAGCAGAAGGCTTTTGTTCTGGAAACCACCGAGAATCCTTGAATTCAAGCTGAGGGCTACTCGTGCGTCCCCAAGGCATCACCCCAGTGGGCTGGCCGACCCCTGGCCTGTGCCGTTCAGACTCCAGAGGGTTTGCTACCGCTGAGGAGCCGGTGGGCCTGGGGCTGGGAGCGAAGCTGCAGCTCGGGGAGTGGCCCTGCACCTGCACACCTGCCTGACTCCGAGGTTTGCCTCCTGCTGAGCTGGGGCCTCAGTTTCCCCCTCCTGCCAAGCGGTGGCTCCTTCCCTCCCTTCTCTCTCTCACAGGAGTCTCATGAGGCTGGAGTGACACTAATTCCTTCTTACCTAGTGTGACTGTACCAGGTGTCATTCAGCCTCCCACAGTCCCAACCTCCCCTTGCTGCGGCCTTTTGTTTCCTCCTCCGCACAGTAACCAGAGTGATTTTAAAGAAAACTAAAATCGGGCCTGGTGCTGCCCCCTTGTCCCTGAGTGCCTTTCCACTGCCCCCAGGACAACAACCAGCGCCTTTGGTGCGGCCCTCGACGCCCTATGCTGTCTGTGCCCGGCCAGGTGGCTGCCTCGGGCCTCCTGGAGCCTGGCATGCTCCCCCATCTCAGGCCTTCCTGCCGGCCCAGGGTCCCTGCTTCGCTGTGCAGAACGCCAAGCTGCTGTCTGATCGCAGGTTAAGCCAAATGCACCCAGGGGCCCTTCCTGTCCCTCCTGCCACACCAGCGCCTGCATTTGTCCACGCACCTGTGTGCAGCTGGTCGTCACACTTGGTGCTGTTACGGTCGCTTGTGTAATCGATAGCCTGTAAATCCCAGGAGCACAGGCCCGTTTCCTATTCCCTCTTTAGCGCCAGCACCACCAGAGCCCCCCGCTGTGTTTGCTGCAGCTGGACTGCCGGGCAGGTCCCCTCCCAGGCCTGACAAGGGTCCCCACTGCACAGTTACACACACCGAAGCCTGGGGACGTTTTCATTGGCCCAGAATTGTGCTAGTGACCAAATCGCGATTCGAATTCAGGTGTCTCTGACACAGAGTATATGCTTCGTTCTGTTTAAACCGCTGTATTGAGATATAATTTCCATAGCACGCTACGCACCCATTTAAAGCACATCTCAGTCATTTTTAGTAAATTTGCAGTTGTCCAACCACCACCACTCTTCAATTTTAGAGCATTTTCATCACCCCAGAAAGAAACTCTGCCATTTAGCAGTCACTCCCCGTTGCTCCTGCTCCCAGCCCCTGGCACCCACGAATCCACGTCCTGTCTCTGTGGCTCTGCCTGTTGTGGACGTTTCATCTAAATGGAGTCTCTCACTGTGTGTCCTTCTGTGTCTGGCGTCTCTCACTGAGCACGACGTCCTCAAGGTCCATCCACACTGTGGCCTGTGTCAGAGCCTCGTCCCTTTTCATGGCCAAGTGATACTCCAGTGTGGATGGACCACGTTGTGTGTGTGTCTTTTGTCCTTATTTCTGCTTTGTGGCTGTTGTGAATCGTGCCGCTGTGAATGTGTGTTCGTTTCTGTTGGCCAGATGCCTAATAGTGGAGTTTTAGGGTTGTGGGGTGACTCCACCTTGAAGCTTATGCTTTTAGAGCCAGTGACGCTTCCTCTATCAACAAAGGGGATGTGCTCTGGGAATTACAAAGTGGCTTTAAAATACAACCATCACTGGCCGTGGCTCTCTTTCTACAATGGGGTTCTGTCAGCCCCCCATCTTGTCATACCTCTTCCCATTAGGGTGCTTCCTGGCTTGGAGCATCGTGAGTTGAATCTGTGTTTTTATTTGGACTGTGAGATCCCCGAGGACACTGGCAACAGGTCCTTGTGTCTCCAGCCCGGGCCTGGCATGGCGCGTGTTCGCGGAAGGATTCAGCAGATACGCCTGGGCTGGGGGTCTGGTTGGCACTTGCCAGTTGCATCCGGGGCTCATTTTCACGTGTGTCTCGTTGTCTCGCCTGTTGCAGTTCAGAGGAACATCCTTGACTTCCCCCAGCACGTGTCCCCCTGCAAGGACATTCGCACGGCCAGCACAGAGGCCGACAAGAAGCTGTCTGAGTTCGACGTGGAGATGAGCATGCGGCAGGACGTGTACCAGCGGATCGTGTGGCTCCAGGTGAGGGGAGACAGCGGGGAACACAGCGGCTGGGACACGGCTGGTGTGGCACAGGACTGGGCAGGCTGGAGGTGGGAGACCCGGCAGGACTGAGACTCCTCAGAGGAGCAGCAGGGCCGGAACCTCTTCAGAACTGGTGACCCTGCTCTGGGTTCTAAATGGTGTGAAGAGAACAGAGTTGGGGGCGGATGGTGGCGATGGTTGCATGAAAATGTGAATGTGCTTAATGCCGTCGAATTCTGTGCTAAAGATGGTTAAAATGGTAAATGTTATGTTACGTACGTTTTACAGTTTTTTTTAAAAGCCATTAAAAAATGACAAAGGCAGATGGAGAACAACACCAACAAAGTATAAAACGTTGGGGCTTCTGGATCCTTCCTCACGTGCGCAGCTCCATTCCACATCCCAGCCACCCTGGGCATACACATGGGGTCAGAGAGGCCAGTGGCGTGGGCAGGGTGTGGGGTGGCCTTTGCCTGGGCTCTTGCCTCCTCCTGGACACTCCTCCTGGAGCCTTTGCTGTGACATCATGTGGTCAGGAGGGGAGGACCAGAGACGCTTGTCCTGCTGCCGCGTCTGTCCTCTTAGGCGGGGACCCCTGAGAACACACGTGTGCCCTGCGGTGTCAGAACACAGCCCATGTGCTTTATTACAAATACAGGTTGGGAGAGCAGTTGGATTTTCTTTTCTGACTGAAGTTTTGTGTGACAGTTGTAGGAAGCAATCAGAGCGTGCCCTGGTACGCTTTGCCTGGTTTCTCCAATGATGATGCTTTGCAAAACTGCAGGGTAATCTAATGACTGTTCTTGATACAGTCCAGCGATCTCATCCTGTTTAACTGTCACCCTGATAGAGGCCTCTGGGCTGGTTCTAGTTTGAGGCTGTTCAAACAGAGGGAGCGTCTGCGTACGGGTGTCGTGTGGACACAGGTCGTCATTTCTCTGAGATGGTGCCCGGAAGTGTCATTGTTGGGCCACAGGGAGCTGAATGGTTGGGTTTGTAAGAAGCTGCCACACTGCTCTCTGGAGTGGCTGCGTTGTCCCGCGTTGCCACCTGAGACGTACGAGTCATCCAGGCTCTCTGCGCCCTGCCCAGCAGTGTGTGGCACCGTCCGTGTTTTTCACGTAAATGGCGTTTTGATTGTGTTTTCCAGGAGAAAGTTCCGAAGGACTCGCTGAGGCCAGAGGCGGTGCGCTACCTGGAGCGGCTCATCAAGCTGGGCAGGAGGAACGGGCTGCACCTCCCCAGAGAGACGCAGGAAGTGAGTGCCCGGCTCGGCCTCACGGGGGCCGTCCCTGGGTCCCCGCACCCCCGCCTCCTTGGAAGCATCCTCCGTTCAGGGCTGAGCCCACCCGTCTTTCTGCTGCTAGAGCATCTGTGCTCCGGGGAGGCAGGCCTGTCCAAAACGGGATTCTCTGGAGTCAGGGCCGCTTCCCCAAGAGAATGGGGCCCCCTCGGCTTGAAAGACTGTGAGAGACCTCACAGGCGGCAGCTGGCACCTCCCTCGCCCGTCGCGTCAGCCCTCTCTGTGTCCTAGTGTGAGGATGTCTCCCTGTTCTCTGGCTGGGCACTGGGGCTGGGGGAGGGTGGCCACACTCTCAGGTCCTCTGGTTTGAAGTGAGGGTGTCGGTGTTTGTGCCCATGTCCCTCTTCTCTTTGCTGTGCCAGCGTGCGGAGCCACAGGGACAAGGTGGCCCTGCCCACCCTGTGCCCTCCGCTCACCGTCTGTGGCACATGTGCTCTCGAGGGTAACATGAGACGGCTTGTGCAGAGCTCAGTGCGGTGCTGGAGTCGCGTGTGGTGTGTCAGTAAGAAACTGAGGTTCATTGAGCCCGAGAGGGCAGGGGACAGCCACTGCTGGAAAGATGCTTGTCACAGTTCCCAAGAGGAGGGGGTAGTGCCTGGCCAGTCGTGAGGCCATGGGTGCAGGGCTGCTGGGGTTGTCTGGTACCACCCTGGGGTGATTGTGGTTGCTGGTGGCCCAGAGCGTGGTTTGCGGGGGAGGGTGCGTCTGTGCTTGCGGTTCACTGTCTCTAGGACCTGGTCCCCTGGGAGCCCCCAGATATCCAGGCACCAGAATACACACCGGCCCCGACTTAACACGGTTACAAAGGTGTGAACGTGATGTGCATTCAGTAGAAACCACGCTTGAAAGTTTGCATTTGGATCTTTTCCTGGGCTAGCGACATATGCCGGACTTCCTTGTGGCGCCGGTGGCGGTTGGAGGGTGACCCACCGGTACTGCACAGCGGCATGCTGCTGCTGCGTTCAGTGAATCTCGCGAGGGAGTCAGCATTTCACTGTGCGTTAAGCTTTGTGTTAGGTGACTTTGCTCTACTGTGGGCTGACGTGGTGTCTGAGCATGTGTGGCTCAGCCATGACATGCCTTTGGAGTATTAAAAACATTTTCGACTTAATGATGTTTTCAATTTACGACGGGTTTGTTGGGATGTGCCTCCCATCCCAGGAGGAGGAGCGTCTGTGCAGGAAATAGGAGGCGTGGTTGGCTCCGTGGCCAGGGTTCCGTGGCTGTGGCCACCCTGGTTAGGTGGGCATCACTACCTTCTGGTTGAAGACTCCAAGATGCGGAGAGGGGATGCGTGTTTTTCCCTTCAGGCCAGTGCTGGTAGCGCAGCGTTGGGCTCCATCTCAAGACTCTGGGACCCCTGAACCCCAAGAGTGGGCTCCCAGCAGGGGCGGGTATAGGTTCCAGCTCAGCCACAGCTTACAAGAGTCACGACTATTTTAAAAACTCCCTCAGATTGTTAAAGCGCAGTGGCCATGTGCACGGGAGAAGCTACGAGACTGTCCCTTGCAGACCAGTGAGCGAGGAGGGAGCAAGGGCAGCCTCACTCAGAGGACACTAGGGGCGGGGCATTCTAGCACCTTCCCTCTGGCGCCTGGTGCTGCTGCTGTCTCACTCTGTCTCTAGAGCCTGGCCTGGTGTGGCTGGGTGGGCTGGCGTGAGGCGCCAGTGAGGGAGGGGGACCTCCGGAAGTGCCCCGTGTGGGGCCTGCTCCCAGGAGAGGCCGAGCGGGACAGGTGGAGACCACAGTCGTGCTGTCCCCGCCCACCCCTCTGTCCTTCCAATGGGCACTTGTGCTCCAGCCCTGGGGAGCAGTGTCATCCTCGTGCCAAGGGGCAGGGACCTGCTATCCAAGGGCTCCAGACTGGCCCGGGGCAGGTGGGCCGGTGGCTCTCTGCACCTCCCTGCAGCTCCTCTGCCAGCGGGAGGTTCTGAGTTGAAGCCGAGCTCTACTGCCAGCCTGTCACTCATCACGCAGCCCTGAGCGAGGTCCTTGTCACACCGTGGTCACCTCCCTTGGATGTCAAAGGGGCCTCTTGAGAGTCACTTTCTTAGCTGGGACTTCACGTTGCCCGGGCTGGTTTTTAACTTTCTAAAACCAGATTTACCAGATAAAGGTTGAAAATGTGTCTTCGTTAAAATGTCCAAAAGCAGAGGTGGTTCCTGAGCAGGGACTCGGGCCTGCTGGGCCCTGCCTGGCAGGTGGGCACAGCCCTGATGTCGCCAGTGCAGCAGATAGTCACGTTTAGATTCGCGCTGCGAGGACAGTCTTGTGACCTCCGCATCTGTCTTGAGTTTGTTTTCTTTCTCGATTTTTTTTTACTGTTCTCACCCGGGTTATCTCTTCTCCCTGCCGAGGTCACGGGAAGAAGCCCTTCGGCCCCAGCTTTGGCGGGAATGGCGTTTTCCCGCCGCTGTCATGGCGCACGCTGGCCCCTGGTCTCTCCCTCCTCCCACGACTGTCGTCTTTCCCTCAGAAAATCAAAAGCATAAAGAAGAAACTCAGTCTCCTGTGCATCGACTTCAACAAGAACCTGAACGAGGACACGACCTTTCTGCCGTTCACGCGCGAGGAGCTAGGTACGGGCCGGGGCCTGCCATTCCTGGGGTTCCACCGTAGTCCTGGCAGGCCCTCAGGCGGCCATGGCCTCCTGCTGGGGGCTTCTGCAGAGAATGGCGGGAGGCATGGCGGAGGCGGAGACAAGGACGCCTTCATCTGGAGCATTCGGCGTTTTACAGCCGAAAGCTCCAGATCCCACCTTGGGGAGGGCCGTGGTCTGTCCCACCAAGGTTCCACCCCCGACAGATATACCCCAGGCAGTGGCAGGAGCCCTGGGCTAGGACGGGCAGTTACAGGGCTCTCAGCCCGGCTGCCAGGTTAGCTGGAATCTCCCCTCTGAAACCCCACACACCCGCCACCTTTTTACTCTTGAAACAAACGAATGGGGTAGACCGAGTCCGGAGTGCGTGTTGGAGTGCAGAGGGCTCAGGCCAAGGCGTGTTTCTTTTTTTTCCCCTTTTTTCCTACTTCTGCTTTCCGAATGTTTGGTTTTGCAAAAGTTGCAGGCACGGCGTGATGGAGAGAGGCCCTGTGCGCGTAGTATCGGCACCCATCAGTGACCTGCTCTGGCTTTGTCTGCAGAGACACTTGCGTGTGTGGGGTTTTTCCTGAGCCATTTGAGAGTGACGCAGGGGCCTCATGACACTTTGCCAAGAGTAAGGCCGCCCTCCCATGTGACATTGCGAAGCAGCGTTGAACCTGGTGGTGTCTGAGACATAGACAGGGCCCCTTTGGTGACGACTGCGCTTCCCTCCCCACTGGCACCTGTCATGCTTCGCCATCTCAGGCCTAAGGTCCTTCTGTCCTTTGTTCTTTCCCGTCGTGGACGTTCTTGAAGCGCCCAGGCCTCGTGCTCCGTAGCAGTCGTTGGCCACCTTCGCGGCTCCACAGGGGATTCAGACGGGGCCCAGATATTCCAACCAGCTATAGCCGTGCTCTCCGGCTCTGGCATTCTGACTGTGGTTGCCTCTGAGGGGCCGGCAAGGAGGGGCCATCCTCAGCTGAGGCCTCCCAGGGCAGCTTGGTTGTGCAGCCACCTGGGCGCGTTTCCCTGACTAAGCGCCCACCTGTCGGACACCACTGAGCTGTCTTGCCTCCTGCTCAGCCCTCCAGCATCTCAGGCAGCACGTCCTGCCACTCGGCCCCCAATACCTAGGAGAGACGGTCGCCTTCGGTTTGCTCTAAAACTCCCTGTCCCCAGCCAAATGGGGCCTGGCCTCTGCTATTCTGGGACATGCTGGTCACCCACAGCACCCTGTGTGGTTGCTCTCCCAGCCCCAGGCCTCAGCCTGGCCTCCCATGCAGACAGCCGGGAGCCCCCAAGGAACTGACGATTGTGCCCCATGGGTTAGGCGGTGGCCCTCTCTGCTGCAAAGCGACTCGGTTTCTCTTTGTGGTCACTAACACGTCAGTAAGTTCTTTGAGACCTGTTGCTTATGACAGAGTACCTGAAACTGGGCAGTTTAGAAAGAAAAGGAGTTTATTTCTTACAGCTCTGGAGACTGAGAAGCCCAAGGTCGAGGGGCTGCATCTGGTGAGGGTCTTGCTGGTGGGGACGCTCTGCGGAGTCCCAGGCGGCACAGGCACAGGTGCTGAACATGCTGATGTGCTCGCCCAGGTCTCTTCCTCATCTTACGAAGCCACCATCCCACTCCCGGGGTCGCCGCTTGATCCGTGAACGCGTTAATCCTCGAATCCACCCGTGAGGGCAGAGCCCTCCTGACCCAGTCACCTTGTAAAGCCCCACCTCTCAGTCCTGCCACACGGGCTTAACTCTGAGCATGCGTCATGGAGGGACAGATGCTCAAACCACAGCAAGGCCAGGCAGTGTCTGTCACTTGTCACGGCAGTTGCCACGTTGTAGCTACGCGGTCGTAACATCCACAGATCTAGGTTCTCCCTGCGTTGTCCTCTCCATGTGCGTTAGTTCCACTGTAAGTCGGAGCTCTGCCTCCTGGGGTCACTTGTCAATGTGTATCCACGTGGACCCAGAGGCTCCTGTGGGCTAAGATCCGTCACTATTGTTACTTATTTCAATGCCCAGACTGTTCCACTCTGACAGTCGGAGCCTCTTCCAGCTGTCCCTGTGTCCTCTGGACATGTCTGTTGCTCTCTGAGTGCTGTTGGACACGTGGCGCTCCAGGCTGGTCCCGCAGGTGCCCTGGCCCGGCCCAGGCATCAGCTGTCTCTCCAAGGGGCTGGGTCCCAGAGTGGAGAGTGATGTGTAGCAACCAAGATCTGAGTGCCAGGTGTGCGCGTTGCTACCAGGGAGCTGCTGTTTCTGGGCACCCTCAACAGACACTGGGAAATAGATGCGTATCTCCAGGTCGCACACGGACGCGCACATGCTTACATCTGTGGTGATCATACGCACACATCGACACCTGCGACCCCAGTCCAGTGCTTCGGGGCTCACCCCGCTGTCTCCCTCACTGGGTTTCAACTCAGCTGGGCCCCGCCTGCGCCCAGGTAGGGAGGTGCCGTGTCAAGGCGCACAGAACTGCCCCGGGGGACATTCTCGGTGCTGCTCCTGCTGTCCTACAGATCCCAGCCGAGCACGCGCAGCTGGGCGCTGCCTTGGCCAAGGCACCGACCAGTGTTTGTTGGGCCTGCGCCAGTGCCCCGGGGGGTGGGGGGTCCATGGGCCGTGAGAATCTCGGCTCCTCCCTCACTGCCCACAGCTGGCAGGCCTCCTGACGCATCCCCATCCGTTACTGCCTCCTACACCTCATCCCTTCTCACCTTACCGCCCTGGGGGTCCCAGGGCACCAGTCTTTGAAGGACAGCAGCCTTGGCATCTGCCAGGCTGACAGCGGTTTCAGTCCAAGGTGGTGCGGCCCAGTTGCACCGGTCCACCGTTTTCATCTTTGACGAGAATCCCTGCCCTTGAGTTCATTTTACCTCTCAGCTCCCAACGGTCTCCTCGCGTGGTGGCCTGGCCACCCTGCCTGCTGCCCTCCTCCTAGCACACTGGGGCAGAAGCTCCTGGAAGCCACGCTGTTGGAGGCTTGAGCTGGATGTAGCTTTTTGTCCCCGAGGGTGTCCTGATGAGAACAGAGATCCCTCTCAGGGCCCTGGAGGATTTCTCATGGGATTGAGGGGAGGAAAGTGAGTGGGGCAGAGCCGCCGAGGGTGGCAAGGCTGCGGCTGCTCCCCGCGCCCCCCAGCCTCCCACACAAGGGGGAAGCCCACCCCCTTCCCACCTGTGCCATGTGCTGGCCTGTGGGTTCTTTCAGCGCTGCCCTGGCCTTGTCCCCGTAGGAGGGCTCCCCGAGGACTTCCTGAACTCGCTGGAGAAGACAGAGGACGACAAGCTGAAGGTCACTCTCAAGTACCCGCATTACTTCCCCCTGCTGAAGAAGTGCCACGTGCCTGAGACCCGGCGGAAGGTGGAGGCGGCCTTCAACTGCCGCTGCAAGGAGGTGAGGCCTGCCGGAGCCCCGGGCCATCCTCTCCCAGGCACGGAGCCGCCTCCAGCTCTGCCCACAGAGGGTCTTGCTGTCACGCCTGGCTGGGTTCAGTGACCGGCAGAGCCGTCCATGCCGGGCCTGGCCCTGCCCCGGGGGCCACTACTTGGGGTCTGGTCCCTCCCCGGGCTCTGTAAGTGATCAACCCTGAGCACGTCTCCTCCCTCTTCCCAAGCTGCCCCTCGCGCCTCTGCCTGGGCCGTTCTTTCTCTTAAACGGTAGAGCCCGGACCCAAGCCTGGATCTGCACCTGCCCCTGTGGCCTCAGCCTCAGATGTCCACTTGCACACAGACACGTGTGGTGTCCCGACCCCGGCCAGGTGGCCTCTGCGCTCTCCCCATCTAGCATCTTGGGCAGGTGGGGGCATGGGGTGGGCCCCCCGGTCTTCCTTACAACACCAGATGGGCTCACACAGTTGGCAAAGGAGCCGCCAGCCAGAGGTCTGAGGTGTCCCCTTGCCGGCCGGGCCGGGTGTGAAACACCCGCAGCAGGTGGCAGAATCCTGTGTTGTGTGCTTCCGTGGGCTGAAGCAGACACCTTAGTCTCACGTAACCCAGGGTTCCAGGGGAAGCCCCACTACAGGGCCTGGGGTGTGGCCCTGGAGGCGGCCGTGTACCCGGGCGAGAGCTCTGATCACCCACAGAGACTAGGGCTCGGGTTCAGGTGGGGCACGTTCTGCTCTCCAGCCCTGAATTCCTGTCACTAAAAGCCTCTAGTGGGCAGCTCCGTGGGCTGGTCAGGTCTCGACCTCCCAGCGCTCTCGGAAGGTTGATGGGGCAGGGGCCGGGGCCCTAGGGGAGTCATCCCGAATCCCACCCAGCCCCCAGGCAGGCTTTCTGTGGCAGAGTGAGGGGCATAGCCAAGAAAGAGGCAGAGCGTTGCAGGCTAAGGGGGACACGGAGGAGGCCAGGCCACACCTGCCCGGTTCCAGTCCGGTTTCCTACGGGCCCCTCATGCTGAAGGTGTGTCTGTCCCGAACGGGCCTCAGTGTCTCCCTGTAAACGAGTCAGATGGGTTTTATGTGGCCCTCAGCCCTGCACCCCTAGCATGGTCTGTGTTTCATGTGCCAGCAGAGCTGGGCAGGGCCCCTGAGGCTGGGGACCAGGCCCTGGATGGTGGGGTGTCCCCAAGAGCAGTAGAGGCTCCCCCAGCAGTCCCTGCCCCCCCCCACTTTCTCTTCGGGGCCTCAGAACCACTCGAGCCCCACACCCTTTCTGGTTCTGAGCAGGAATCGAGGGCGTGTTAAGCCCACGGGGTGTGGAGACCTCGCCGGGAGGGGCAGGAGGCCAGGCTGAGCCCCTGGCTGACCGCGTGGTGCTGTTTGCAGGAGAACTGCGCCATCCTCAAGGAGCTGGTGGCCCTGCGGGCCCAGAAGTCCAGCCTGCTGGGGTTCAGCACGCACGCAGACTACGTGCTGGAGATGAACATGGCCAAGACCAGCCAGGCTGTGGCCACGTTTCTAGGTAACCCCCGCTGCCCTCCGCGGGGGGACTGTGCTTGTCTGTGACACGGGGTTACCTCAAGTGGGACTTTGGAGCCCCCCGACTCCTGGTCTTGGCTGCAGGCCCCCAAGGTGCCTGGCCCCTCGGGGTGCCGGGAGGTGCCGCCAGTACCTGCCATGGCGTTGGGGACAGTGAGAGGCCCCTGTGGCTTGGGACTTCCTTTGGGCACGTGTCGGGAGCCCGCCGCAGCGAGGTGGCCCCGCCTTTCTGCCTCCCTGCAGACGAGCTGGCGCAGAAGCTGAAGCCGCTGGGGGAGCAGGAGCGGGCCGCAATCCTGGAGCTGAAGAAGGCGGAGTGCGAGCGGCGGGGGCTGGCGTTCGACGGGCGCATCCACGCCTGGGACATGCGCTACTACATGAACCAGGTGGAGGAGACGCGCTACCGCGTGGACCAGAACCTGCTCAAGGAGTACTTCCCCATGCAGGTGGTCACCCGGGGGCTGCTGGGCATCTACCAGGAGCTCCTGGGGCTGACCTTCGACCTGGAGGAGGGCGCCAGTGTATGGCACGAGGACGTGAGGCTGTACGCGGTGCGGGACACAGCCTCGGGGGAGGTGATCGGCAAGTTCTACCTGGACCTGTACCCGCGGTGGGTGTGGGCAGGGCCTGGCGGGGGGAGGGACGCTCTCAGGCCCTAGGGCTCCTGTGCGCCCAGCTCTGCCTCCGTGGATGGGGAGCCATGTGAGCTGTGTGGCCACCTGCCATGCCGTAGGCGTTAAATGCTCTGTGGTCACTGTCACTGCCCTCTGTGGCTCAGCCACCTGGACAGGGATCCCAGGGACCGGAGCCGTGACCTGGTCCGTGGCTCTCACACTGCCCTGCAGAGGTGGGCACCTCAGGAATTCTGCCCAGGGAGCGGGGTCCCCAGACCCCTGCACTGGCTGCTCCTCTGTTGGGAGGGAGGTTTAGAACCTGAAATGTGTCAGGGAGTCTCGGCTGTCAGGTGGGCTAAGGGACATGGCGTTGGGGACCATCGTTGTAGCTCTAGTCCCAGGTAGGACCTGACCCCACCTCCCTCTGCAGGGAAGGGAAATACGGGCACGCGGCCTGCTTCGGTCTGCAGCCTGGCTGCCTGCGGCAGGACGGGAGCCGCCAGATCGCCATCGCGGCCATGGTGGCCAACTTCACCAAGCCCACCCCTGACGCCCCGTCCCTGCTGCAGCACGACGAGGTGGAGACCTACTTCCACGAGTTCGGGCACGTGATGCACCAGCTCTGCTCCCAGGTGGGTGCAGCCGCGGCCCCACCAGGCCCCGGGAGGGGCTAGAGCCAGGTGCTTGGGTTCCACTTATTGCCACCTTCACCATATACAGAGGTGGTGATGCTCCCTTGTGTCAGTGTCCTTGGACTGCTGCAGGAAAGCACCACAGGCTGGGGACTTAGGCAACAGGTGTTGATTTCTTCATGGTCCTGGGGCGGAAGTCTGAGATGAAGGTGTGGGCAGGTGGTTTCTCCTTGGCGTGTATACGCCGTGTTCTCCCCGTGTCCCCATGGGCCCATCCCCTTGTGCCTGTGTCCTCGTCTCCTCTTCATATGAAGACCCATTGTGCTGGCTCAGGGACCCACCCTAATGACCTCTTAAAGACCTTGTCTCCAAACAGTCACCTCCTGAGGGACTGGGGTTCAGGACCCCAGTGTCTGAACTTCAGGGGGACCCACAGCAACCCATAACGCCTCCCAGAGCCATTGGGCAGAGGAAGTAGAAATGGCACATGTCACTTGCAGGGGACGGTGCTTGGCGCAGAGGCCCTGTGCCTTGTTAGTGGCAGTTGAGCCGTGTGGCCCAATGACCCCGTGAAAGTCAGTGGTGGGTGCAGGGCGAGGGCACCAGGACCCCAGCATAGAGCCCCACTGTGGACCCAGTGGACACAGCCCAGGGAGGTCAGGGTGTCATCCCTCGGAGGAGGGCCAGGTCTCAAACGGTCCCCAGTGACTTGACCTCCGGGGGGTGGGTCTTACTGGCCAGGACAGGCCTCAGCCTCATGTCCACGTCCCGGGATCCCGGCTGTGCACGTGGCCTCGCTCTTGGCCTCCTGCTGGCGCTCAGGACGCCACGCCTGCTCTGTGGTGGTGGGACCATTCTTGGAGCCGCCCCAGGCGTGTGCAGGCCCCGGGTGTTCGTTGATTTTAGTAAATTCGCCAAGTTGTGCCACTGTCACCACAGTGCAGCTTCAGAAAGTTCCCACGGCCCTGAAAGGATCCTCCATGCTCCGTCAGCAGTTGCCCCTCTGCAGCCCCGGCAGCTGATAATCCGCTTCCCGTCTCTCTGGATTTGCCTGCTCTGGACATTTCACGTGCGGAGCCCCTGGTCTGGAACCACAGGCAGTGCCGAGCCGCGCAGCTGCGGTTCTCCCAAACGTACACCCCGCGATGAAGTGTAACTCATCAGTTATGCATGGGGGGGAATTAACAGCAATAACTGATAGTGGCGTAAGACCATTGTAACACTGTGACAAGTTACGTGAATGCGGTGGGTGTGTCTCTCTCTCTAAATGCGCTGTTCTGTGCTCACCTTTCGTGTGATCTGTGGCTCTGATAACTGAGGTGACTGTTTAGTGCCTGGCAGCTGGTGGCGGCCACAGTGCGCATGTGATGGACAAAGGGACAGTTCGTGTCCCAGGTGGGACGGAACAGAACGACATAAGCGCGCATTACGTGGCTCAGAATGGCGTGTGATTTAAAACTTAGGAATTGTTATCTCTGCAGTTTTTCATTTAATATTTCCCGACTGTGGGTAATTGAAACCACAGAGGGCGAGGCCGTGGGTGAAGAGGCCTCGTGTAAATGGAGTCACACGCTGTGTGACTTTCTGTATCTGGCATCCGTCACCCAGCACGATGTCCTCAAGGTCCGTCCACATGTGCTCTGTTGAGCGACGCCTTGTGGAGTGCGTGTCGTTGCTTCCTGAACGTTGAACTCAACACCAGTAGCCCCAGCCCTGGGGCCCGAGTGGAGCTTCTCCCGCACACACATCTCCTCTGTGAGGCTCGTCGCAGCCTCCTGGCGCCCAAGGACCCCAGATAGTGCTTCAGCACCACGCAGGGGGACATTTTAAACAGCAAACTCACCAACAGGCACAAAAATGCAAAAACCGTGGCTCCCGGTGGAACGAGAAGAGGACCCTTGTTCACAGAATGAGCCAGGGGGAAGGCAGAGCGTCGCCTAGTCTCTGAAAAGGCGCCGCAGGTGTTGACGTGAATGTCACTGTAGCGAGGAGGCGAATTCGAAAACACGGACTCCAAGGGCGAGGGCCTATGTGCGTCCTGCCCAGTTTTCCTGCCGTGCGTGCTCTGTCTGCACAGTGCTTGTCCTTGGCACGCGTGCCTGTGCACACACGTGCACACGGGCCTGCCCTGCCCCTGATGCCCCCGGAGCGCAAGTGCTGCTGTTTGGCTGAGTGTTGGGGTGGCAGGTGCAGCCGTCACGAAGTGCTCCTTGCTGAGAGTCGCCTGCACCCAGAACAGCGCCCGGCACAAGTGCCTCTGTGCGCATTTGCTGTTGGGGCGAGGAGCACAGTTGCACGGTCCTCGGAGTGGAAGAGCCTCTGTGCTGTTGAGAGGACCTGGCAAGGTCACTCAGGAGGCCGTTTGGCCCACGGGCTGCCAGACGTGGCCCCAGCTGGACTGGATCAAGGGCTGTGCCTTGAGGGGAAGATTCCAGACACAAGTAGGGAGACGCAGTGCTTCTTCTGACACTGGCACCCAGGGTCACCCGGACCCAATGGTCCCAGGCCCCTTCCACACTGGCTCCTCTGGCTCTTTGGGGTGCAGAGCTTTTGGGGAGCACTGGCTCCATGGACAGGGCAGAGGAATGTGGGTGGCTGGCAGGGACAGGTGCGTGTGGTGGGCATTTTAGGGTGTGTCCTGCTGGGATAGGTTGCCCAGCAGCAGCCCAGGGGCCGCCCCTGTCCCCGTCACTTTCCAGGCTTCACAGTTGGGGGCTGGGGTGGGACCAGCATGTTACCTGCCTGCCCAGGTGTGCTGGGGACGGCGGCCCAGGTAAGGCCCAGGCCTCGGGAACCGGCCAGGCAGGGTCTGGGCACTGGCAAGATTCTCCACTCTGTGCCCACAGGCGGAGTTTGCCATGTTCAGCGGGACCCACGTGGAGCGGGACTTCGTAGAGGCGCCTTCGCAGATGCTAGAGAACTGGGTGTGGGAGGAGGAGCCACTGCTCAGGATGTCGCGGCACTACCACACGGGTGGTGCCATGCCCCAGGCGCTGCTGGAGAAGCTCATCGCGTCCCGGCAGGCCAACACAGGTGCCCACCTCCGTGCTATCCGGTCACCACGGTGGGGAAGGGGCCTGTCACGGGGGCATCCGTGGTTCTCGGGGGCCCCAGTGTCCCAGCAAGCGCCTAGCAAGTGCCTGTGGTGTCGGGACGCCACACGGGATCCCGGAGGCCAGCTGCTTCCCTCTTCCCCAGGTCTCTTCAACCTGCGCCAGATCGTCCTTGCCAAGCTGGACCAGGCCCTGCACACGCAGACGGATGCAGACCCAGCCGAGGAGTACGCCCGGCTCTGTAGGGACATCCTCGGGGTCCCCGCCACACCAGGTAGCCGCCCTGAGCTGGGGCCACCTTAGAATTTGGGACCAGCCGTTGCCCTGGGAACTCACAGGGAGCCCGTGCAGATGTTTCGCTTCATGAGTGCAGAAGCCCCTGGTGGGGGGCCATAGAGCGTGTCGGGGCTTCTTGGGGCGGCGGCAGGACAGCAGCCCTGGCTGGGACGCGGCTGCAGGGCACGGTCGCAGTGGTTGTGGGGCCCTGGCCTCCAGGGAGGAACATGTCCTCGGGAGCCTTCACTTTAAATCAGTAGACTAGTGGGGCTAGTGTTTTCTCGATCTGGAACTGCACTACGTGTTTCGTAGAGAGCCTGGGAAGGTAGAGAAAAGCCTAGTACTCGCAGGTCCCAAAGATGACACGCCAGTGACACCCTTTACTTGCGTGTGTGTGTGTGTGTAGACGTGTGGGGGTGCTAAGGTAACGGGGATCTTAACACGTCATGTCGTAGTGGTTTGATATTTCATGAGTACTTAGAAGATCTTTCCAGTGGTCTCTTACGCAGCACATAGTAACCCATCGTGTAGGGCAGTCTCCTCGCGGGGAGTTAGGGCTGCAGCAGCCGGTGCCGCCTTTAACTGTGCCCTTGTCCTTCTGCGGTGGATGGAGACGGGTCCCACCCTGCTCTCGCCACGAGCCTCCAGGCCTGTTCCAGCTGGGGTCAGGGTGCGTCAGTGTCCCCTGGGGGAGGAGTGTGGGTGACAGGGTTGTGACACTGACCTCGCTGTGTATCTGTCCCAGGTACCAACATGCCCGCGACTTTCGGCCACCTGGCAGGCGGCTATGACGCGCAGTACTACGGCTATCTGTGGAGCGAGGTGTACTCCATGGACATGTTTCACACGCGCTTCAAGCAGGAGGGTGTCCTGAACAGCAAGGTGAGGGGGGCTGGGGGCTCACGGGAAAGGATCTGAAGCCAGCCACTGGTAGCTGAGTGACCCTCCCTACTGTCCAGGACCAAGAACAGCGCGTCCTTGGCCTCGGGCCCGCATGTGTGCGGCCAGCCCGGGGCAAGCACCTCCTGCTCTCCCAGGCACTGCGGACGGCCCCTCCCAACCTGCAGGAAGCTCCTCGCTGGACCCTGTGGGGCCCGGGGATGGGTGCTGAGAGCCACCTGTCTCCCTTGACCTGGCTTCAGAGCCTTGGGCACTCAGTGGGGACAAGGCCATCTCTTCCCCTCTGTGTCTCTCGGCTTGCTCCCCTGTGACGTGGGGACATTAATGCCCACCCTGGGCTTGTGCCTCCCGCTGGCCCGATGCGTTCGCAGGCTTGGGAGCAGCTGCCAGAGTCTGTCACGAGAGACAGATGGATTCTGGCTGCACCGAGGAGCCTGCTCCGGCCCGGGGGTCCCTGAGGGGGCTGGGCAGCATTGCCCCAGGCAGGCTGCGGGCACCTCAGGCCTCCAAGAGCAGCTTGTGGCCACACCCTGCACAGACATGAGAAGCGGGGGCTTAGAGATGTGACCCCCGGCCCGGCAGGCCCCTTGGCACGGCTGGGAGCCATGTGCTTCCTGCACCAGCCCCTGGCAGCCACCGCTGCACTTGGGGCCCCTCTGAGGACAGGACAGCTGCCATGCCCTGTAAATTGGCTGTGAGGGGCTGGAGGAGCAGAGTGGGCCCCCAAGGGCACAGGGCCGGCTGGGGACAGCAGCCACCTGGCTTTGGAGCCTGCAGTCGGTGTAGAGACCAGTGAGGCTCGAAGGTGTCCTGAGCTCCTTTGTGGCCAGGACTGTGCTGGGTCCCTCGACTCCTTGCAGCCAGTGCCAGCTGCCTCCTGTCCCATCCGTGCTGTGCCCTAGCTGTGAATGGACCTGGGTGTGCCACCAGCCACCGCTTGCCTGGAGTCCCGCAGCTGGTTTGGGGAAGGGACAGGATGGAGCCCGGAGCGTCTCCCGCCTCTGCTGCTTCTGCCTTTGGCTTGGCCTGGGACTCCAGTCCCCTGTGCAGGGAGGAGCGACTGGGGGGTTTGTAAGGACCCCGGCTCCTGCACACGCACACACGCCGTGAGATGGGGTCCCAGGCGTCCGCACCAACCCCGCGCGATGCTGATGTGGGCGGCCTGCGCTGGGGAAGGGGTTCTCTGAGGACCACGCAGGAGGGGCCCTGAAGACCCCCGGCCTTCTGCCCCTCCTCCCCGGTGCCCGCTCAGCCCCAGCCCCCGCGTCCCCTCACAGGTCGGCATGGACTACAGAAGCTGCATCCTGAGACCTGGCGGCTCTGAGGACGCCAGCGCCATGCTGAAGCGCTTCCTGGGCCGTGACCCCAAGCAGGACGCCTTCCTCCTGAGCAAGGGGCTGCAGGTGGGGGGCTGTGAGCCCCAGGCCTGCTGACGCCCGGCCCCCAACTGCCCCGGTCCTGCCCATGCCCTGCTGCCCGGCGCCTCAGCCTCCAGCCAGGACAGGGCGAGCTCCAGGTGCTGGGCGGGACACTCGTGCAGGAGGGGCCGTCTCCCGCCCCTGTGGTCCTCACGCCCCACTGAGGTGGCCCTGTCAGGTCTCCTGCTCCAGGTGTCTGGAGGGCCCTGGCATCTGCCCAGGGCCTCGTCTTCGTTGCACTAACACGTCCCCTCCCTGGGAAACACTCCTTGTTGAAATGCGGTCATTAAAAAAAAAAAAACCCACACAGGAGAGACTCCCAGCCTGGTCTGTGGCTCCCGCCCGTTCTGTCCTTGGGTGGCGGAACGTGGTTTGCTGCACGTAGACTGGAACGTGACATTTCCATTGAACCCTGGGCTTTGTCAGGGCCTAGCCCTTGGCCTTCACCAGCCTGTGACCCCAGCCTCTGCATCGAGATGTGCTTGGGTCCCTGCGGACGGCTGAGCTGTCGAAGGGAGTGAGACCCCAGGGGCTTAGGAACCCTGGGAGGGTCCCCTGTTCTGTCCGACCAGGCTGGGGTGCTCACAAGAGAGTTCTGCTTCCTGCTTGCATCTCACCTGGCATCATTCTGGAAAATTCTGCAAAATGCTTTCCCCTCCTTGTTCTGCTCTGGCACATGGCAGGACTAGGCCGGAGAGTCTCGGGAGCCGAGGCAGCCCCGTCTGTGCGAGCAGCAGAATCCGCAGCTGCCGCGCTCGCAACCCGGGGAGCTCTCCCTCCTGGGCGTGCCCAGGGAAACCTGGCTGCTCTGGCTTTGTGGCCAAAGACTCAAGCTGGCTGCTGACTGACCAGTGCAGCTGCCGGGAGCTCTGTCGTGGCCTCTGGCCAGGTGACTAGGCTGGCCTCGGCCCGGAGACGCCAGTGCCCTGTCCTCACCTGGCCCTTGCAAATGCAGCAAAGCCTTGGCCAGGCGTGGGCTGACTTGTGGATCCTCGGATAAGTCCCCAAAAATGCCTCGGTGAGCTGTTTGGTTGGGTTCCTGAGTCCTCGAGCAGGACAGGAGGGCCCCCCCACCTTCTCCTGTCTGTGTGAACACTGACATTCCCTCCTGTGCTGAGAGCTGCCCCCCAAGTCCTCTGCAGAGGAGGCTGAGCAGTGGGACTAGTGACAATCATCACCCAACCCTTCCCAAGCTGGAGCAGGCGGCCAGACGGCCACCTGTACTCATCACCTCGATGGGGACGGGATTCCTGGGGCTGTGCCGTCTGCCCTGTCCCCTTCTCCCGGAGCCTGGGCCGGCCCAGCACTCTCCTGTGCACCTGGCTCTGCTTCCTGTGCCCACTTCTGTCTCTCAAACTTGGGGGGCAAAGGTGAGTGTTCTCTCAGCAGAGCTGGTGGGCTCACCGTGCGGCCAGGGCAGAGTCCTGGAATTGACAGTCACAACAGCTGTCGCTGAAAATACCTGGGGCTGGAAAGACAGAAAACAACCACAGCAGGGCTCCCTGCAACAGACACAGGGCAGAGCCCTCACTCTGGGTGCAGGAAGGCGGCAATCCTGGGGGTGCCCTCACCCTCCCCTGTGCCAAGCCTGCAGACAGCCTCCACCTTGTCCCCGTGCAAGATGCAGTCACCTGCCACCTGTCCAGCCCTGGGGCCGCCTGGGGGGGCGGTTCTGGCTCTTGTCCCTGGGATCTCATACCTGCCCCAGGCCCCCACCAGTGCGACTATTTCCCATACTGAGAAGAGCTCCTTGTCTCTGGCTGTGGCCCCAGGCAGACTTCTTCCTCTCCCCTGATGCGGGCGGAGCCCCTGTCAGACTCTTACAAGCAGCAGGTGTGTCTGGCTTCCAGCCCGGGCAAGCGCTACTGCGTCCTCATGGCCCTGCAGGGTCAGTGTCACTGTCCCTGTGTCTCAGATGGGGTGTGTCAGGATCAGAACCCACGTCCACTTCCCGAGCAGCAGCACCCGCTGAGGCCACAGCCTCTCAAGGAACAGCCCACGGGGCCTCAGCATCTAGGGCCTTCGCTAGTTCAGGGGACAAAGGGTCCATTTGTGAAACTCAAGTTCAGTTCAGACACTGATGGGCAGCTTGAGGGTGGGGCGGGAGGCCTGGGTTCAGCATTTAGGGTAGAGGGAACCGGGGTGCGGGTTCCAGCATGGGCCGGGGCCAGGTGGCTGCCCGAGCTGCTCTCTGGGGCCTGAGCTCACTGTGGCTGTGCACCGAGCTCTTTGTTTTGCCATTGGGTTTGTTAGCTACTGTAAGGTTTATAGCACGCATCTCTAACTTGTTTATCCTTATGTAATATGATACCGTTTTTTGCACAGTATGAGAACCCTTCAATAGTATATGTGCATTTTATCCTTCCAGAATATATTATGAATCTTCGTGCAGTTGTTGCCATGGCTTTTACTTTGACATTTGTTACAAACCCCTCAACACACTGCTGTTATTTTTGATTAAGCTGAGGACTGTCAGTCTGTGGCATTGTAAACAGCAGGGAGAATAGGTCCTTCAGTCCAGAGCGGGGACTCTGGGCAGCACAGCGCCTCAGCCACACCACAGACTAGGACGGAAAAAAACGGGTTGAACAAGTTGGGTTGGAGCATTGTTCAATACATCATGTTTATTACTGAGCTGCGCTTGGGCCACCCGTGCCACAGTTTCACGCACGCACCGGACGGAGCCTCCCACCTGGTCTGCGTTCAAGACTAGATCCCCAATGTAGGCTTGCAGCAAACGGGACGTAACTGGAGAAACGATCCCATTCATTTTGCCCGAGCATCTGTTGATCATGTGACAGAGTCGCATTCATGTTTATAACTATACATCACAGCACATCATCTCAGGTGCCGAGAGATCATCAGTGGATGTTTAACTATGTGTCGGTCTCTGCGTTTCCCTCGGATCCTGTTTCTTCTCCGATAGGAAACACACCATGGAGGGTCTGGGTCACTGCATAGACAGCATGATATACAGATAAAAAAAGTGAGAAAGGAAATAGTTTCAGGGGAAAGAGAGAACACATATCATGGTTTGGTCCAATAACAATAATAATAACTTAAATATATACAATTTATTATGTATTTATATAATTTATCACCAGGTGTGGTGACCTATGCCTATAATTCCAGCTACACAGCAGCCTGAGGTAGGAGAATTGCTTGAGCCTAGGAGTTGGAGGCTGCAGTGAACTGTGATGACTCCACTGCACTGTAGCCTGGGCGACAGAGTGAGACTCTGTCTCTCAGAAAATACATATAATTTATCAATAAATGTTATTATTTAATAAATAACTATTAAATCATATAATTATATGTATCATGTTATATATTAAATATTATATAACTAATAACAATATATAATATAAACATTGATATATACCTAATATATATGACATGTTCATATATTCCATAATGAATGTTAATATATAGCTAATATACGTTTTATAATATTTAATTATATCGTGTTATACGTATAAATATATTACATATAAATTTTATATGTAGTGTTATGTATAAAATTATGTATTATGTTACTAAGAATGTTATGAATCTTATACTATTAACTTATCATTAATAACATCAGTTAATATGTTAATATTATTAAAGAATAATTATTTCTGGTCATGTCAAACTTCTAAAAAAGAATAATTATTAAAACAATAGTCTTAACAGGTATGAATGCATCATATTTATATAATTTGTTAGTACATAGTAATAAATGTTTAATGGCAGACCTCTGTGTGTCAGGCTTCGTGCTAAATACATGACTCGCGTTTTCTCGCTTATTTTCCACAGCAGCCGGTGTAACTGGGTGCACCGCTGCACGCATCTGGCAGTCGCGGCCGGGCCGGGCGTGAATGGGCTGCGCAGCCGGTTCAGAGGGAACTGGGGGTTTAGCGTTAAGGCTCCGCAGAACTCAGAGCGCCCCAGGCAGGTGCGGACGCTAGGGCCCGCGGTCCTGGGAAGACGCCGCCCGGCCGCAGAGGGCGCTGTCACTCAGATCGCTGCCCCGGAGTCCCGGGAGCCCAGCGCCGCGCCCCGGGGTGTGCTGGGACTTGTAGTTCGTGGGCTCGCGGTGCGCAGGCGCAGTGCTGATCCGCGTCCACGCGCGTCCGCGGGCGACGGCGGGAGTTCACACGGGCGCAGCGGGGGCCGTCGCTGGGAGCGCGAGCAGCCGAGCGGAGCGGGGGTCCCGGGACGCGCGGGGAAGGCCGTCGGCCTGCGCGGGCCGCTTCCGCCGCGGGGCAGCTGCGCGGCACCCCGACGGTCACCCGCGCGCACGTGGGGCCCGCAGCGCCGTGAGTGGCCGGGCCGGGCTCGGGGGCAGCGCCGAGCGGGCCGGGCGGCGGGGACGGTCCCAGGGCTCCGAGTCGGGTCGGAGGCGACGCGGGCGAGGCTGGCCGACTCGCGCACGACCCCCGGCCCCCGTGGCCAAGTGGGCGACAGACCCCCGAGGATCTTTTATCGTGAAGTCTTCGCGTATAGATTGAGTTCGGCTCCTTTTTGGGGTAGGGGTTCTCAAGTGGGGATGATCTGCCTCCAGGGGACACTGGGAGATGTCTGGGGACATCTGTGGTTGTCACACTGGGGGCTGCTCCTGGCAAGGAGTGGGTGGAGGCAGGGATGCTGCTCAGCACCTGTAGTGCCCAGGACGCCCCACCCCAGAGAATGATCAGCCCCAAATGTTCAAAGTACCAAGGTTAAGAAATCCTGCGTTAGTTATTTGTGGGAAAAAAAATTGAATTTGATCTGTCTTCACACTAGACACCGGAATAAACTCCCAACGGGGCAGATGGCACACACCAGGGGACCCCCAGCTCCAGGAACTCCCCTCCTTTCTCCCTCCCTACTCAGGGTGTGGATTTAAAGGTGCGCAGCCTTCTAGGACCTCAGCAGGGCAGGGGACTGTGGGACACAGACTGTCTTAGGGGTCCATGGAATCCCCTAGCCTAGGGGGTCTCACCTAGGGCAGCTCTGCCCCGCCGCCCCCAGGGACTCTGGGAGACATCTGGGACATTTGTTGTTGTCACAACTGGGGAAGGGGTACTCCTGGCATGGGGTGGGTGGAGGCCAGGGATGCTGCTCAGCACCTTGCAGTGTCCAGGACGGCCCCACCCTGGGGAACGATCCCATCCCAGTGTCCACAGTGCCCCGGGGAGAGACCTGGCTTACGCCTCAGTGTTGTGGTCCCGGTGACAAGGTACCAAAAGCCCATTCTGTTTGTGCCCATGCAGGCCTGCCGAGGAGTGAAGAAGCAGCTGGTCTCCCTTAACACCGGGTTCCCTGCCTCTCCCCTGCCTGGGCTTGATTTCATTTTTCTCTGCAAGGAAGTCCTCATCCGGCCTTTCTTGTGGAGCAGGCGTGAGTCTCAGGGGTCAGACCTTGGAAGGGACTCTCCCGGTCTAGGTGCCTAGGTCTAGGAGAATGAGGGCGTCTGACGGAGCTGCTGAGGTCAGCCAGGAGGGAGGAGGGTCCTGGGAAGCACAGGCGGGTGGGAGAGAATTGATCTGCAGGAGCTAAGGGGCTGGAGGTCCTGTGCCCTTTGCATGAGCTGCAATTTAAGGTCCTACGAGCAAAGAGGGAACCTTACCCTGAGTGGGAGCAGAGGGGAGCTAGCAGGTTGCAAATCCTCGAGGGCACTTGCAAAGCATCCCCTGGGGGCAGCTCCAAGGTGGCAAGGCTGAGGGGTGAGCAGGGAGCGGTGTCTCCATTCGCCTTTGGTCCTTGTGTGAGTGTCCTGCATCTGCTGTCACAGCTTACCACAAACTGGATGGCTTAAAACAACAGAAACTGACTCTCTCCCAAGTCTGGGGGCCAGAAGCCTGGAATCAAGGTGTGGCAGGACGGCCGTGCTTGCTCCCTCCAAGTCTCCAGGGGAGGATCCTTCCTGCCTCTCCCTGCTGCTGGTGGTGACCGGCAGTGGCTGTCATTCCTCGGCTTGCAGCTGCGTCACTCCAGTCTCTGCCTTCATTACCACACGACCTCCCCTGTGTCTGTCTGTCTCTCTTAGAAGGACACCACTCATGTCACCAGAAGCCGAGAGAGGTAGGAAAGAACCTCCCCTTGCTTCAGAAGGAACGCGGCCCTGCCCTGCTGATGCCCTAGTCTCGGACCTCTGGCCTCCAGGACTGAGAGGGGATAAATTCCTGTTGTTTGAGGCCACCGGGTCTGTGGTTCCCTGTTAAGGCAGCCACAGGAAACTCACAGGGTGCTTCACTTCTCGGTAGGGCTCGTATGTTTCGTAAACTCCGGTAAGTTGGTTGCTTGCAAGAGCTTCCGTACCTCCGTCCATCAAATGGAGCCTTTAAGGTCCCTGGCCTCAGTCCTGGCTTCACTCTACCTCCCTCTGCGTATGGAGGTCGCCCCAGGCGGTGCAGGGGTCTCTAGCCAAGGATTCCGGGACCTGAGGACTGGCCTGGGTCTGGTCTTCACATCGTCTCTCTCCTTTCTGCAGCTCGGCTGGCCCCGGAACCTGCTTTCCCCAGAGGCGAGAATGGCGGCTGGGTACCTGCCTCCCTGGTCCCAGGTGAGACATCCTTGTTCTCCTGAAAGGTGCCCAGGATATCTGGAGGGAACAAACTCGTCAGAATGTCAGTCACTGTTAGAGAAGGAGCCCCTCCCCGCCCCGCTATGTGGGAAACGCAGGAGAGTCCCCGTGAGTTTTTGTTTCTAGTACTCGCACTTCGCCCACGTGTAAGGACAGACATTGGGTAGATCCAGGGAGCAGAGCCCCTGGCCCTAGGAGAGAGGTGGGCTCTAGCACCATCCCCCATAGAGCAGGGAGGGCTGCCCAGAAAAGCACCCTTTTTATTGAGTGGTGGGGTGGGGTGGGACTTCCTGCCCACCCTCTCTCTGCTGAGAGAGATTGAGGGGCAGACAGGGCCCTCATGTTTTTCCCTTTATTTTGAGTCAGGGTCTTGCTCTGTCACCCAGGCTAGAGTGCATTGGCGTGATCACAGCTCACTGCAGCCTCCAACTCCTGGGCTCAAGGGATCCTCCTGTCTCAGCCTCCCGAGTAGCTGGGACTACAGGTGCCACCACACCTGGCTAACTTTTCTATTTATTATAGAGTCAGGATCTCGCTATGTTGTCCAGGCTGGTCTTGAACTCCCAGGCTCAAGTGATCTGCCTCAGCCTCCCAAAGTGCTGGGATTACAGGTGTGAGGCACTGCGCCTGGCCCCAGCAGCAGGAGATCCTCAAGTGGGAATGTCATACTCGCAGATCTGGAAGTTAGAATAACCAGCCCAATAAGAAATAGGCAAAATATTTCATTCGGACCTGTGCACGGGTCCTCCTTGCTGTGTTTACGGCGGGCCGAGAGTCTGTATGTTCCTCTGATTGTAAACCACAGACAGGTACCCACAAGGCAGCTGGTAGAAACAGACGTCAGCATTTCGCTGACTTTTCTGAACTTCCGTGGTGCCACCATCCTCACCCCTGCTCCCAGGAACATGCGTGGGGCTGGACGCATCTTGAGCAGAACTGCCGTGATATTTTAGGAATCAGTGACCTTCGAGGATGTGGCCGTGGACTTCTCCCCGGAGGAGTGGGAGTTCCTGGACCCTGCTCAGAGGAAGCTGTACAAAGAGGTGACGCTGGAGAACTACAGGAACCTGGCCTCCCTGGGTAAGACAAGCACCATTCATTCCCGCAATCATCGATTCCTCATTGATCTCGAATTCACTGTTGTCAGGCACCGTGCTGGGACATGGGGATTCATCGGTAAACACGACAGACGTGGCTCCTGGCCTTGTGGCTTTCACAGTCTCCTGATTTCTCTGACAGATCAGATGACCTTATTCCCTCAGTAGGTGGTAGCTAGAGTGGCCGTTGAGTTGCATGTCTTAGTTCAGCCACAGATAACGTCTCTGATTCCTCCTGGGTACGGAGTCGGAGCATGTATAACTCTTTCTGCCAACGTGAAGAGCCGTAATTTTTTAAAAATCTTTTTCTATTGTAAAATATACGTAACATAAAATTTGCTTTTTAAGTATACAGTTTGGTGGCATTAAGCACATTTATGATGTTATGCAATCAACACAACTATCCGTTGACAGAACTTTTTTATCCTTCTAAACTGAAACTCTGCACCCATTAAACACTGACTTCCCACTCCTCTCCGCCCCCCAGTCCCCGGCAACCACTAATCCACTCTCTGTCTGTGTGGATCTGCCCATTCTGGACGTTTCATACAAATGGAATCATATAATATGCGCCCTTTTGTGTCTGGTGTCTCTCACGGGACATGATGTTTTCTAGACTCCTCACATTATAGCCTGTGTCAGAGCTTTGTCCGTGGATGAGTAAGATTGCCCTGTACGTATATAACGTATTTTATTTATCCGTCAGTTGATGGACACTCGTGCCGTTTCCACCTCACGGCTGTCGTGAATACCGCTGCTGTGAACATTACTGAACAAGTATCTGTTTCAGTCCCTGTTTTCGGTTCTTTGGGTAAATGCCTAAGAGCGGAATTGCTGGGTCATATGGTAATTCTACGTTTAGAATTTAGCTTTTTTTTTTTTTTTTTTTTGGAAAAGGTCTCACTCTGCTGGGCTAAAGTGTAGTGCATCAGCCTAGCTCACAACAACCTCAAACTCCTGGGCTCAAGCGATCCTCCTGCCTCAGCCTCCCGAGTAGCTGGGACTACAGGCATGCGCCACCATGCCCGGCTAATTTTTTCTATATATTTTTAGTTGCCCGATTAATTTCTTTCTATTTTTAGTAGAGACAGCGTCTCGCTCTTGCTCAGGCTGGTCTCGAACTCCTGAGCTCAGACGATTTTCCCACCTTGGCCTCCCAGAGTGCTGGGATTACAGGCGTGAGCCACTGCGCCCGGCCTAGAATTTAGCTTTTTGAGAAGCGCCACACTGTTTCTCACCACAGCTATGTCTGTTTTCCATTCCCACCAGCAGCGTAAACTCATTTCTCCACATCCTTGCCGGCACTTACTTTTTTTTAATTATCCCACTGCGAAATGGTGTCTCACTGTAGTTTTGGTGTGTGTTTCCCTCATGACTAATGACATTGAGCATCTTTAATGAGCTTATTTACCACTTGTATATTTTCTTTGGGGGAAACATAGCATCCAAATGGAATCCAAGATTTTTTAAATTAGGAAAATAAAATCTCTAGCTCAGGCAATGTGCTGCCTCTCAAATGTACTCTTCTCTCTTTCAGAAGCCCTGAAGAACCAAAGTACTGATGCAGGTATCAAGGATGGTCCATTTTCCCCAGCACAGACCCCTCAAGTCACAAGGCTTTCCCCATGGTTCGGGTATTCACTCTTTCGGCCAGTGGAGCCTTTTCATTTGCAGCAAAGAGAAGCCCTGTGGGTGGAGGAAAAACAAATTCCCCAGGCCTCCTGTTCAGGTGAGCCTTTTTTTTTTAGAGGCAGGGTCTTGCCCTGCTGCTCAGGCTGGAGTGCAGTGGTGCATTTATAACTCATTGCAACTTTGAACTCCTGGGCTCAAGCGATCCTCCTGCCTCAGCCTCCCAAAGTGCTGGCATTACAGGTGTGAGCCTCTGCACCTGGCCCCATTTTCTTCTTGAAGCCATTCTGCCTTTTTTTGTAGTTATATGTCTTCTTGCTTTCTGGATACTTCTCTCTGCCGTCCTTATTCTCCCATCATTATTGAGTAATTGCTTCTATACTTCCACTTTTCCCTCTTCTCTATCATTGTCAAACTTCTCACGCTGTGTCCTGTGCTCAGTGTCTTCTTTACTGATCCATCTCTCTCTTTCTCATCCTTCCCCTGTGTCGAAAGCTGATATTTGACCATCAGCCCACATGGGTCTTGTATATGTTGGAAGGGCTTTTGTCTCCCCATTATTAAAGTAGCAGTTTCTTCCTCCAAAAATATTTTTTTTCCTCCAATGTATTTCAGATTGGGAGAAAAGACTGAAAAACCAAGAATCAATTTACAAGAAGGTGGTTTTGGGGGAAGAACCATCTGGTGGTGTGAATATCATAAGGCTTACCGTAGAAGACTGGGGATGTGACCAATTCAAGGAGAACCATGATACCCCCCAGGGGCTTTTGAGGCAAATGGCATCCATCCAAATAAAGGCAGTTGCTCAGCAGAAAGCAACTGCATGGTGTGGATTTGGCGACAGCAGTAATCCGAGCTCAGACCTTGTTCTATCTCAGGGAAGCTCAGTAGGGAAACGTGTCTGTGACAGTGAGCTAGATATTGAGAGTTTGGTATCTGATTCTGTCTTAAAGCACCATCAGTTGGGATATGTAGCTCAGAGACCCTGTGAAAGTAATGAATGTGGAAATGCCCTCAGCCAAAACAGTCGCCTTATTCAACACGAAAGAACTCAAACCAGGGGGAAATCGTCTGTGTATGTGGAAAATGGGAAACCATTGAATCATAGTATGGCTCTTACTGTGCACAACAAAATTAATACAGCAGAGAAACCCTTTGAATGTCACCAGTGCGGGAAGGTGTTTAACCGGAGACATTCTTTGAGTGAACATCAGAGAATTCATACGGGAGAGAAACCGTATGAGTGTCAGGAGTGTGGGAGAGCCTTCACACACAGCTCAACCCTTACACGCCATCTGAGGACTCATACTGGAGAGAAGCCCTACGCCTGCGGCGAATGCGGGAAAGCCTTCAACAGGATTTCGTCTCTGACTCAACATCAGAGGATTCATACAGGGGAAAAGCCTTATAAATGTGAAGACTGTGGAAAATCCTTCTGCCAGAGCTCTTACCTGATTTTGCACAAGAGAACGCACACTGGCGAGAAGCCCTATGAATGTAATGAATGTGGAAAAGCCTTCAGTGATCGTTCCTCTCTCAACCAGCATGAGCGAACTCACACTGGGGAGAATCCCTATGAGTGTAACCAGTGTGGAAGAGCCTTCAGCCAGAGGTCTTCCCTCGTGAGGCATGAGAGAACTCACACTGGAGAGAAACCTTACAGCTGTAATGAGTGTGGGAAAGCCTTCAGCCAGAGCTCTTCCCTTATCACACATCAGAAAACTCACACTAGCCAGAAAACCTATAAAATAATAGACTGTGCGAAAGCGTTCTATCAGAGCAGCCACCTTATTGGATTTTAGCAATTGCTTGCTGCCTCGTAAAGCACATCTTAGCACTCTGACATATAAACATGGTTAGACTTTGCCCTGGGGTGATGTACTATTTGACAGGAAGTAGGTTCATGTCACGTTCTTCAAAGCAAGCTCTGTGGTACAGAACTAAGAAGGGGCCTTTTAATGGGAGAAATCACCGTTAAGCTGTACCCAATGAGCTCCACCCTCTTAGAAAAGATTGGCCAATGGGAATGCTAACATGGAATGGAATTTTGCTGAAAACTATCACATGTTAATTTAGTTGCTGAAACAAAAGGTATTCTGTTTTCACTTTCAACTTATTAATTCAACATTCAGTATTTTGTTTCAATATTTTACTTAGTCATTCCACCCCTGTTGGTCACTTAGCTAGTTCTTAATTTTTCTCATGCACTCCTATGGCAAAGCAGAGTGTATGCTAAGATGACAAGGGCTTTGGATGTGAAGTAAAAAAAAAAATAAAGGATGCAAAATAGTGTGTGCAATTTGATCCAATGAAGTCTATAAGTTTGTGTGTATGTACATACATATATATATATTTACACAGACACACAAAGGGACAAAGGCTGGACAGACATGTAAAATGAATAGTTTATCTGATTATTAGTCAAGGTTATCTGATTATGTGTGATTTTGTGTCACTGGCCATTTCATTTGTATTGTTGTAATCATTTTGACAATGAATAAAAATCAAACGGCAGCAAGAATCAGATGGAATGTGGAACTTCATTGATGCATCAGAGGAAGTTCTGGACACCAAGATGGCAAAGATACCATAGGGGAGGTTTTGGAAAATGGGGAAGTTTAGCAACCTTGGGTGGCCTGGGAAAAGTCCCAGCTGTGAGATGTACCTGGCAGAGTAGAGCCCAAGAGTATGGTTGTACATCATCATTAAAATTTATTGAGTGTTTAGTGTATGCCTGGCACCAGTCCAATACTTACATGTGGTTCCTCATTTAACCTTCACAATGGCCCCATAAGATAATCGCTATTCATACTCCATATTACAGAAGGGGACGCAGAAATAAAGTCACTTGCTCAAGGTCACGCAATTAGAAAGTAGTAGAATCTGGATTTGAACTCTAGCAGCATATACAAAGCCAATGCCTCATTTGCCATGTGGCCAATCAAGGAGGTACACAGGGGAGTTTGTGGTTTTCAGATTTCCCCTTGGGAGTTACCTAACTTTTCTCTGAATCTTCCCTTTTTCTAAGAACTAATGAGGGAGGTTTCAGCTCTCCTTTCACCCAAATGGGACCCATTCATAGGAATTTTGTTACCTTTCCTTAAAGTAGAGATCCTTTATGTGGGGTCTATGTAGGCTCAACTTGGTTGATGGGTAAGTTTCTTATGGGCTCCATGAACAACCTTGAACTGTATGCCAAATGTGTGTTGGTGCATAGATGTGTTTTCTGGGGAAAGCATCTGTAGCTTTTAGCATACTCTTGATCTCAAACTCCTGGCCTCAAGCAATCCTCCTGCCTTGGCCTCCCAGAGTGCTGGGATTACAGGTGTGAGCCACTTCACCTGGCCTATATTCTTGAGAAAAGTTGACTTAGAGGTATCATGAGTACACTGTTTTCAGTCTTGATATCTCCCTCCCTCCAACAATTATTCATAGAGAACCTAAACTCTTTGGTGACTGCGTATAAGGCAGACAGGGTTGCTGCCCTCACTGGACATGTATTCCAGTGTCGAAGGAGCAGGACTAGCTTTTCGGGCATGTGACCCCTGCAGTCGCACAAGGCTTGACTCTGTCCTGTGATTGGTTTAATACTCCCACATTTATATTCTTAATCATTTTGAGAAATAATAATGAGATATTATCAAATCGTTATAATTTTAATAATAAAAAGCCCCTACCCGCTTTCATGTTGCTGTGAGTCCTGCACATTTGGTAGCCTGCCCCGTACAGGAGTGAGGGGTAGGGACAGATGTTAAGCAAGTAACCAAATACTTTAATTAAGTAATTATAGATTTGGGGAGATGCTATGGAGAACACGAACACGATGCTTCTGTGACAGATAATAGCATAGGGACCAGCCTCAGGTAGGACCTTTCTGAGATGAATCATCAGAGCATCCGAGAAGATGAATTTACCTGGAGGAGAGCTCCAGTATAGCTTTGTTTTCACATGTGAAATGTTAAGTGGTTTCCAAATCTACAAATTTTTGATTCAATATGTCTGACTCAAAAGTCTTTTGAGACAGAATATATTTTTTAAGTTTCTGTTGTTTAAGTATATTTTTTTCTTTCTTAAATCTTTTTCTCATTGTACTGGCGTGGTCCTCTGGTGTCATGCTGGATAGGAATGGTAAGAGTGTACCCCTTGCTTTGTTGCTGATCTTAGGGAAAATCATTCAGTCGTTCACCATTAAGTATCACGTGAACTGTGGGGTTTTCATAGACAATTTTCATGTTTTTCTTTTATTAAATTTCTGCTTTTATTGCTCTGTAGTCTGAGAATGTGTCTACTGTTTTCAGTCTTTGGAATTTATCGAAGCTTGCTTTGCAGTTTACCATGTGATTGGGTTTTAGAAGTTTTCCATAGATGCTGGAGAAGAAGGTGTGTTTTCTGTTTCTGTGATTCAGAATCTGGCTTGTTCTATTACTTTAGCCATATTAATAATAAGTTTCCAATTTCATTTCCAAATCAACTTTCCATTATTATGTCTTGCTAATGGATACTTATGGTTTGGGATAAAATTTGTAGACAGAAATTATCCTGGATGACCTATCCAAAAACAGTATATTTCAAACACAAAGATGCAAAGATATTCTCTGAAAAACTGTCAGATCCATTTTTCTGTAGTATGAGCAGAGCGATGTTGAAGAAGGTGCACATAGAAGGTTCAAAATCTCATGAAATACGAGATTGGGAACAGGAGTTGTTTGTGCCATGTACTAAGCCATTGTCTCTGTGCTTCAGCCCCACTATATGAGTTTCCTGTTGTTGCTGCAACAAATACCACAAATTTAGTGGTGTAAGACAACATTTATTCTCTTAACAGTCCTGGAGGTCAGAAGTCTAAAATCAAGGTGTGCAGGGGTATGTTTTCTGGAAGTCTAGGGGAGATCCTGTTCTTTGACTTTTCTAGTTTCTAGAAGCTGCCCATGTTCCATAGCTAATGGCCCTTCACCAGCCCAATCTCTGCTAATGTTGTTGCATCTCTCCTGCTCCCTCTTCTAAGGACCCTTGTGATTATGTTTAGGGTCCACCCAATAATCCAGGATAGTGTCTCCATCTCAGATCCTTAACAGAATCCCAGCCCTTGTGTTACCTATAAGGTAGCATATTCACAGGTTTCTGGGATTAGGATGTGGACTTCTTTGGGGGCCATGATCCTTATATGTCAGAGCTACCCTTTTACACTTTACTTCGTGATGTGTGCAATCCACATTTCTGTTTGTAAATGAAATGACAAATGATATCAGAGTTTGTATGCTCACTTAAGCTAGACAATGTTTTCTGAATTCAGTAGCCATTAAACGCATTAGGTGCGTCTATTAACTGTATGAAGAATTTTCAGGTCCATCTCAAATAAGATTTTGTTTGCTTTGTGTTACATCAGTTAAAATAGGAATTCAATTGCCATAGGGATATATCACAGACATTTTAAAAAAATACAACTTTAAATAAATTTAAATAAATAAATACACACAAAATTTACCATCTTAACCGCTTTTTTTTTTTTTTGAGACAGAGTTTTACTCTGTTACCCTGGGTAGAGTGCAACGGCTTGATGGCAGCTCACTGCAGCCTCCAACTCCTGGACTCAAGCGATCCTCCTGCCTCAGTCTCCCATTTTTAAGTGTACAGTTCAGTGGTATTAGGTGCATTCATATTGTGCAATAGAGCCTTTTAATTTTCAAAATCAATTGGGGATACACTAAGAAGCTGATGTGAAATAAATTTCCTTATAGTGTAAAATCTGAATTTGAAGATTTTAGTGAACATCTCATATCTGGTGGTTTGGAGAAGAGGTCCTGCCCCAGGCGGAGCTGCGAGCTCCAGTGACCCCCGGGTCAGAGGGCTCCGGCCTCCAGTTCCAGCGGCGTGCGTGGTCGGACGTCCACGCGGAGCCGACGTGGTGACGTCACGCTGAGGGTCTTGTCTGAGTCGCGGGGAACTGTCCGGTGGACCTCGTGGCCCAGGCCCGCCCGTCTCCGCAGAACCCCAGGCCGCCCCGTCCTGCCCTGACAACTCCTGTCCTGGACCAGGGTCGCTGGGTGGGGAAACTGCGTCTGGAGTTCCCGCCCTCGTCCGGGAAGAGCCGGAGCAAGTTAGCCCAGATGCGAAGGTCCCCGGCCCGCGGGGTCAGCCACGGTGTTCGCGACGTGCCTGTCACTCAGGCTGCCGGGGGCGGGTCGTAGAGAACTATCCAATCAGGGGGCACATAGGCGGTGCCTAGGGGGTATTGCCCAATCAAAGGCCCCAGAGGGATGAGGGGCGGGGAACTCTCCAATAAGGGGCGCAGGCATGGTCAGCACTGTTCAATCAGGGGCCCCGCTGCCCCGACCACTGTCCAATCAGGCTCCGGGGGCGGGCTGTCGCTGTACACGCCCCAGGCCGCGCGCGCCCGCCCCACCTGTCCCCGAGCGGCGCAGGCGTCCCGATCCCAGGCGCGCTCCCCTGCACTGGCCGCGGAGCTGCCCCGGAGCGCCCAGGAGCGGGTGGGACATGGTGAGTGCGCGGGGCCGGCGAGACCCTCAGGGAGGCTCCGGGACCCGGTCAGGCGGCCTCAGGGTGGTCGGGGCCTGCCCGGCTCCCCGAGGCCTCCGCAGTGAGGGAAGCTGGTGCCGCCCTCCGCGCTCCAGAGGTCGCGGGTCCTGCCCATTGTTCGTGCGCAGCGTGGCCGACGTCTCTCTCCAGGGCTTTGGTTCCCGCGTCCCTCCGCTCGGCAGGAGCGAGAAGCCGGGCCCCCAGCCTCGCGGGAACAGTCCCGGGCCCTCCTCCAGGGCCTTCCCGGGACTGGCATCCCGGAGCCGCGGTGGGTCGGGCCCTGGTTGGTGTCTTTTCAGCTGTCCGCGCTCGGGGACCCGCCGGGCTGCCCCGCAGGACAGCGCGGGGTGCGGCGGGGGTCCCCGGGGAGCTACCGGGTGCCCGGTCTGGGAGGAATCGCCGGGCACCCCCATGTGAACAGCCCACCCCTTGGGCACGCGGACCTGCTCCCCTAAGTCCCAGTGTCCTTCTTGGGGACACGGTGGTTGGTCTCTTACCCGCAAGATGCTGGTAGTAAGGGGGGAAGACAGGTGACTCCCGGCCCTGGGCTCTCACACACAAGGAGGAAACAGTAACCAAGACACGAGAGGACCCCGAACCTGGAAGGGAGTGTAACGACCCGAAAAGCAAAGTGCACTTCACACACACAGCGGGCCACATCCAGTGTCCTTTGTTCAGGGAACACTTCCATGAGCAGGTGGGGTGTAGATATTCCTCCTGGTAGGATGGCCAGACACGACTCCTCGCTGGGTTTGTCCCTGTGAAAAGATTTTTTCACTTATTGGAGCCTCACTTTTTCAGTAAATATAACATACATTTAATTAACAGAGCTTGAAAGATAAGCTAAAATATTTCCAAAGGGGTGACTATCAGGAAAAAAAATTAATGTTTCAGATTTACATTCCATTTGTTAAACATTCCTTTTATTTATTTTTTATTTATTTATTTTTTCTAGTGTCAAATCAGTTTTGAGATTTGTTAAACATTCTTCTTTACTTTTTATTTTTTGCCCTGGAGAGCGTGTAGTGAGATTCTCAGGTCTCTTCCTTTCTGTTGAGTGATAACCAGTGGGATTCCAGGGCTTAGCCTTGACAATGTTCCTGGGGAAAAGAATCTCAGAGAAATAGAGAAAATGTCCCCTTCAGTCTGGCTGCAGGGAAATAAATATATTTCTACAAACACGTTTCACAGGTAAATTGGTGCATTATAAAGATTCACCGAAATATCAGTTGTTCTCCTTGGCATGGTGGGGAATTTGTGGCAGTGTATGATTTCTGTTCTGATTCCAACGACCTGCAATACTCTTTCCTTAAATCTACAATGAATGTTGGTCATGAAATAGGTGGGAATACAAGACATTTTTCTTATTTAGATAAGAATTTGTTACTGCCCCGTGTAGTAACGCATGTGTCATCTCTGCCACTGCTCTGCAGTGACTGCCCTGGCAATAACCACATTTCCCCAAACACGAGGGCCGGGGGCAGGACGCTCTTCCTTTCCATTGAATGAGTTGACTGTTCTGCTGCAAATGCCCATAACATCGGGATGACTGTACTTTAGAAATCTTGCTGAATATTAAGCTAGTCTGCACCTTGTTATTCAAGACGTGTTGGCTAATTTTGGACATTTGTTCTTTCTGTTAGGTTTGTAAAATGAGCATTTATCAAGTCCAATATGGTTCACGCATTTAATGGAATTTTATTAAGATCAGAGGTCTCTTTTGGAAGGGTTGATGTCTTGGTGACACTGAGTTCTTTCTGGGAGCATTTGCCATCTATCCATTTATTTCCTTTTGCTTTGATGTTATCCAATATTGTTTGTGAATTTTTCCATTGGGTTCTTTTTATATCTTTCATTAGACTTTAGTACTCAATTAAATTTGGTTTTTACCATGGTGTTATCACTTTAAAGATCAGTTTTCTAACTTGCTGTTGCTATTAATTAGAAAGATAATGAAAAAAAAATTTTTTTTTTTTTTTTGAGACAGAGTCTCACTGTGTTGCCCGGGCTAGAGTGCTGTGGCGTCATCCCAGCTCACAGCAACCTCAAACTCCTGGGCTCAAGTGATCCTCCTGCCTCAGCCTCCCGAGTAGCTGAGACTACGGGCATGAGCCACCATGCCCGGCTAATTTTTCCTGTATATATATTTTTTTAGTTGTCCAATTAATTTCTTTCTATTTTTAGTGGAGACGGGGTCTTGCTCTTGCTTAGGCTGGTTTTGAACTCCTGAGCTCAGCCCTGCGTGGACTTTTAATTCTCACAGCAGACAGTAGCTCAGCTGCTGTTTCCTACCCTGGATGACTCCACAGCCACCCAGGCACCAAAGGCTCACCAGCTTCTATCCCTTCATCCTTCCATTTCCCAAATGCTGCTTTTGCCATATTTCAGTGAGTCAAGGTTATTCTAGCAAATCCCACCTCTGATGTCAACTGTATCGGGTATCCCCAAGACCACCCCTATGTCTTGCTAGTAGGATTCCCAAGACTCAGCATACAGTCATACTTGTGACTATGATTTGTTACAACAAAGGGGCACACAGCAAAATCAGCAAAGGGAAAGGGCACGTGGGAAGAAGTCCAAAAGAAACCAGACGCAGGCTTGTAAGAGAACTCTCCCAGTGGAGCCACTGCATCTGACTCCTCTAGCAATGAGTTGTGAGAACACATGTGAAATGTCTACCAGGGAAGCTCATTAGAAACTGAGCTCCCAGGAATTTTATTGCTGGCAGATCACATAAACATCCTCTGCCTAGCATGTAGCATCCTCTGCCTAGCATGGTACCCAAATTCCAGACTTCCAGAGGGAAAGTAAGTGTTCAGCATTAACAGTGCTCTTTGCAGTGAGTAATATTAATTAGGGTGGTGTGAATCCTAACATCCAGGTTCCCAGACACCAGCCAAGGCCATTGTTACCAGCAAGCCTTTCTAAAGATAAAGTCTCAGGCTTGCAACATTAAGTGTTTTCTGCACACTAGGTCAGGGAACTTCATTATGGGAAAATATTACGGATACCCTGTACTCAGAGCAATGAATGCTGACCAGGGAGTTCATGTCATTCCCTGTACCAATAATATGGTACCATAGGCATGATTCTATCACATTAAGTAGGTAAATGCTAGCATCAGAATTTTGCATGACAGTATTTTCTCTGAATCCTGCTCATGGATGTTAGTGGGTTGATGATCTTTTTTCAGAAACCAGGGTTTAAAGGAACCGTGTTATCTCAGTGGTTCCTATGCTCAGGGTTTGGGCTGTCATGCTCATGTGCCCAATATGGCATATGGAAGTGAGAAATTGAGAGTGCGGCGTCTAGGGTGATATGTGGGGAACCACTTCCTCCTGGAATTTGAGACAAGGGAATGTTTTGTTGGAAGACACTGCTGAATCCTTTATATCTTTTATATCCATGGCAAATTTGTAGTCAGATAAGTTTTGGACTTCAGTTAATTTCTTTGCAAAGTGGAATTCTTAATCCTATTTGTAAGGTTAGCAGGAATAATCTTTATGGCTCTGGTGAAAACGGCTGTTTGGGGATTGTATAACCTCACTCTGTGCATACTTTGTGTGTGTGTGTGTGTGTGTGTGTGTGTGAGGATCAAAGTTGTAAGGCTTCAGCACTGGGGCTTGGGAGTGTATGGAATGTGTAGAGGTCTAAGTTCTTGCGTGTTTTTCCTCTTTTCTGAGCTATAATTTCCCAGTAACTTTGTTTCCATGAAAATGCACAGAGAAAAAGTAGAAACCGAGCCTAGGATCATTATTACACAAATAAGTTAAAATGAATACTTCTCTAAAAGTATGTTTTCGTTCAGCCTGTTGGACCTGCGGTTCTTTAAGACATTATGTCTCCCTGGCCCTGGTTGCAAGTTGGGTCCCCTCAGGCCCCTTGGCCTCGTGTTTGGTGAAGGTAACAGAAAGAAAAGTTCCCAGTCCTAATAAAACTTCATTTAAGTTTGAGCCTGTGCTGGATGCAGTGCTGAGTGGTGTGCCGCAGGGGAGGACTGAGATATTTTGTGTCACAAGGGATTGATGGTCTTAAAATGCAAGTATCTGTTTCATTTGTATAGCATTTGTTTTATAGCCCCAGTGTGGTCTGAACCCTTTTGATAGAAGTAAGTCTTGAATTTGTCACATTAAAAATGTAGAGATACGTTCAGGGTATTAAAGGTGCTGTTAAATCCATGAGGAAGTGCATGTAGACAAAGAGGAAGACGTTGGACAACTGAATCACAGAGTAGATGTTGGGAGACCACAGAATCTTGTGTGAACTATGTGTGAATCGAATACAGTGCTCCCATGCTGTCGGTCTCAACCATCCTCCTGTAAACGTGTTTGATGTTTTAGGATTCAGTGGTCTTTGAGGATGTAGCTGTGGAGTTCAGCCTGGAGGAGTGGGCTTTGCTGGACTCAGCTCAGAGGGACCTCTACAGAGATGTGATGCTAGAAACCTTTCAGAACCTGGCCTCAGTAGGTAAGGATGACATCGTTCCTTCACTTAGTTATTTATAGAACAAGTATTTCTTACACATCAAACCTGTCACAAAATTTGCAATGTGGAAAGGGAAAGCATTGGCAAATCAGACAAACATGCTCACAGCTGTCATAGTGCTAGAATCTATTAGTTTTCTCATGAGAATGAGAATCTATGTATTAAACTGAATTTTTCTTTCTGTAAAGAAAGCTCCCTTTGTGTCATCATTGTGGATATAGGCTTCATGGGCCCAGTGGAGTTTGTTTTTGCAACCCAGCAAAAATTGTATTGTGTTTATTAAATTGCTTGCCATTTTGACACCTTGTGCTTGATGAAGTCCTGAAACAGCTAAACTCTTCAGTGTCTTTTTTTGGCTAACAGGTGTCTTTTTTCTTAAAAGATTTAGTCACTTTTTGGTTACAGATGATGAAACTCAATTTAAGGCCAATGGGTCAGTTTCTAAGCAGGATATTTATGGAGAAAAAATACTCAAGGAACCTAAAATAGCAAAATTCATCCGAAATGTTTCCTGGGCCTCTGTTTTAGGAAAAATTTGGGAAGACCTTAGCCCCGAAGATCAGCACACAAACCAGGGAAGAAATCTGAGGTGAGTTGTACTTACAAGATAAAGTAGTATTCCAGAAAAGAATCTTAGTATATCATGAAATTTAAAACACAAGCAAACAGAAAACTCACATATGCCTAGTTCCAAATTGTTTATTCACAGCAGAATTTTCACAAAAAATATTTCTTTAAATGTGACTTAGACATTGAGCGTTAGAAACATAATTCAGTTGGAAACAATTATCAAGAAACCCCATATATAAGAAACACCTTTAATAATGGCAGTGGTCAAACCCTCTTCCAGAGCATTGTGTTTATTCTACTTTGAAACAATTCAGAAAGGGGAGAAAACCTACACTTTCACTGAAAATGGTTAAAATGCAATTCTAATAAATATTAATAGATCATTATTAATCAAACCATTAATAGCATGCTTCTGATTTTTAATAGAAATGATATGGTGGAGAGACTTCACAAAAGTAAAGATCAATGTGGAGAAGCCTTCAGTCAGATTCCAAATCTTAATCTCTACAAGAAAATTGCTACTGGAATAAAACAGTATGATTACAATGCATATGGAAAAGTCTTCATGCACCATTCGTCCCTCAAGAGTCACATCACAGTTCACACTGGACACAGACCATATCAGTGCCAGGAATGTGGGCAAGCCTACAGTTGTCGTTCACACCTAAGAATGCATGTGAGAACCCATAATGGAGAGAGACCCTATGTGTGTAAATTATGTGAGAAAACCTTTCCTCGTACTTCTTCCCTCAATCGACATATGAGGATTCACACTGCTGAGAAAACCTATGAGTGTGAACAATGTGGGAAGGCCTTCATTGATTTTTCAAGTCTTACTAGTCATGTGAGAAGTCACACTGGAGAGAAGCCATATAAATGCAAGGAATGCGGGAAAGCTTTTAGTTATTCCTCAACTTTTCGAAGACACATGATAACACACACTGGAGAGAAGCCATATAAATGTAAGGAATGTGGGGAAGCCTTTAGTTATTCCTCAACATTTCGAAGACATATGATATCACACACTGGAGAGAAGCCACATAAATGTGCGGAATGTGGAGAAGCTTTCAGTTATTCCTCGGCTTTTCGAAGACACATGATAACGCACACCGGAGAGAAACCCTATGAATGTAAACAGTGTGGGAAAACCTTCATTTATCTCCAGTCCTTTCGAAGACATGAAAGGATTCACACTGGAGAGAAACCCTATGAATGCAAACAGTGTGGAAAAACTTTCATTTATCCCCAGTCCTTTCGAAGACATGAAAGGACTCATGGTGGAGAGAAACCCTATGAATGTAACCAGTGTGGGAAAACATTCAGTCATCCCTCATCCTTTCGAGGACATATGAGAGTGCACACTGGAGAGAAACCCTATGAGTGCAAGCAATGTGGGAAAACTTTTAATTGGCCCATATCCTTACGAAAACATATGAGAACCCACACTAGAGAGAAACCCTATGAATGTAAGCAATGTGGGAAAGCCTTCAGTTTATCTGCTTGCTTTCGAGAACATGTGAGAATGCATCCTGAAGACAAATCATATGAATGCAAGCTATGTGGGAAAGCTTTCTATTGCCACATATCCTTACAAAAACATATGAGAAGGCATACTGCAGAGAAACTCTATGAATGCAAGGAATGTGGGAAGGCCTTCAGTTGGCCTGAACTTTTGCAACAACACGTGCGAACACACACTGTAGAGAAACCTTACGAATGTAAGGAATGTGGGAAAGTCTTCAAATGGCCATCATCTTTACCAATACATATGAGACTGCACACTGGAGAGAAACCTTACATATGTAAGCATTGTGGGAAAGCATTTAATTGTTCCTCATCCTTAAGAAGACACATGAGAATACACACTACAGAAAAACACTATAAGTGTAATATGGGACCTCCTCCTGCAAATGAATTCGTGTACAATGCTCCAGAAAATTCACACCAGGAGAAAGAGCTTATAAAAGTTGTAAATATGGTATTGCCTTTATGAGTACCTCATCTATAAAGTGAACATATAAGGAGTGTATTTATAGTCTATTTACAAATAAACAGGTGAAAAATATTTCTCTAAATACTGTTAGCTGTACTACATATATGTGAGCAGGTAGTTTTTTTCTCTTACAATTTGGTAAATAAAACTTTTATGTTTACAGTTTGTTGGACTCATGGATGATTTGAAGTGTATTTTAAATACACAAGTAGGTTTAATTTTTACTTAGTTTCTTAAATTGTTCTCTAAGCAAGGAGTTATTGGCACAAAGACACTTTGGTATTTGTTGAG